GGTTTCTTTACGTGAGATTTGAATCTACCTTTAAGCACATTGTTGTCTGTACCATTTAAAACTTTTTCGATAAGATTCTTACACATAAGCGTCTCGCCCTATTGGTGTTCTTCTCTCCTGGCAGGATTAATGAACTTCATTCTTTGGCTAGTCCACCTTCTCTTGTTTGGTATGCGGATAGTATAGTCATAAGACCATCTGCAGTGCCAAAATTTGGTTTTATTCATTATTTTCTTATTGACAGGCATGTGTGTACCCCTGTGTTTATTTGTCAAGAGCTGAGGATGCAGTTCACAACAAAGCCCTTTATATTGAGATGGAGGAGTATCGACTCTTGAGTGACCCTGACCCAGTCAGTGATTTTTCCAATAACGATAACATTTTCCTTTTTGTGTGTGAAACTTATTTCTTATCGATAGTGAAAATTATCCACTTTAGCCAACAATATCCTGCATTGTGCAGTTATATTCTCATTGTCTTGCTTTCACTAGTTTGAGTAATTGAGAGCTTTCATCTCAACAAATGTCAATGCAACCTACTATTCATTTCTTCGGTTTTCCATTGTAACCTTCTAAATGTAATACTTCTAAATGTTGAAACTGTTTAGGGAGACCTTGTAAGCACGATTCGAGTGCTCTGAGATGCTACGTACTTGAAGCGCACTACATAAATGCCAGTTGTTGTCTGCTTTTTTGGGTGTTTTAATAGTTTATTTTCCAACATTTAAAATTGTATTCCATCTTTCCAAACTATGAAAGAAAACCATGTAAAAGAGTACAAACAATGCAATTTAACAGAAGAAGTTAAACTCTTCTCAGTCAAGTACACTATCTAGAAGAGAGGGGTTCTGATTTATTATTGTGTATTTCACACCCAGTGAATCGTTTATCTCTTTGAAGTTTCCCACTGAACATTAACATTCCTGTGTGATGAGGTGTCAATTACTGAGTAACCTTGATCCCACAGTGCACATTGTTTATAGTAAAACAGACTTTTCAGGGTTTGTTTTTCTGTTTGCTGAAGCTGATCTGTGTGCGCCAGATGGCAGGAAAACCCCACAAGTTCCTGCTCTCCCATAGCTGGTTTGCTCTCTGAAGCAGCATTTTTTACATTGACAATCGTGTCTGCAACTTATGCAAGAAACAAATAACGTGCTGTGTTCCTTTAAGAAGAGAACATTGTGTATGCCCAGGGGTAAATAGTTTTTTTTTACTTCCGTGTTGTTAGAATGTGTGGCGAGGGTGATCTAGTCAGCTATTTTAGAGTGCATGAGAATTGATGGTATATTTCCCCTTATGTGAGCAGCACCAAGGCTTTGAAGGTGGGGAAGGAGGGGGCAAGGTGGGGGAATGAGGGAGAGTTCCACAATTTCAGGGTATAGTGGCTGAAGGCACGGCTACTGATGGTGGAACAGAAAGCAAAAGCCATAAAGCGAGACACCTGGGTTCGGTTCCAGGCAGAGGGCGAAACCTTGGGCAAGTTTTCTTACTCCACACAGAGCCTAATAATAATCCCTCCAAAACAAAAAAATAATAAATTGGTCATTTTCAATCCACGACTGTTTGTGGGACATTGCTGTGCGCAATTGGCTGCCGCGTTCGCCCACAAATATACAATCAATTCACTTTACAGTGTGTTCTGTGAAGCGCTTTGAGAGGTCTAGAAGACCTGAAAAGCGCTATATCAAATGCAAGTATTATTGTTGTTGTTATGTGGATTTCATGCGTCCCTGAATTGATTTCCAATGTGAAAACTGCAGTGAGATTGTAAATTCAACAGTTTTGTAAAACTTGTGAGTTTAAAAAAAAATACCTCCCAACCAGGAGGTCCTGCTAACCAGGAGGTCCTCCCAGCTGAGTACAGAAATGTCTGTCTGTGTGTCAATCTACATTTCGTATTGGATCCTTTGGTTGAAAGCGAAGCTGCAAAGGATACAGATAATTGTTAACGAAGAGAAATTGGGAGTTGGAGATGAAGGATGTTATCAGTTCAGATGCACATAATCATTTCTTTTGGTTGTCCGTAAAATTCATCAGAAATTTGCATGGAGTTAATTGTGCTTAACTGTAATTATGCTTTGCTTATAAAGTACAGTGTGCGTATTGCTGATAAGGAATTTTCCTTTGTGGTGGATTGAAAATCGAGTATCGATGATTTTGGTGCAGCGATGACAGCATTTAAATTGTGAATGTCTGACACACGCGGAAACCAACCCATCACCGTGCTTGAGAGAATCCAAACCAAGCTGAGATTTCCATGCAACCTACCTACACCTGGAAATCCCAAAGATAGATTGTTGGAATGGAATGTGCACTCTCACCCTGGAGGGAACGGACCCCCCCCCTTACCTTATATCAAATTGTGAAGATATCCCTTGCATGCTTTGATCGTTATGCTAGATTTGGTTCAGAAATGAGTGGCTAATGCAGGAAAGGCGGTCTGCTTTTGACGAGGATGAGCTGTTGCTGCCCTCAGAGCCCCTGATGAATGCGTGCTGCGAAACTGCGTCTGTCAGAAATGTTCCCATGGTTGTCGCTGGAATTATGGAAAAGCGTAATGGCGTGGGTTGTTGCTTAGAATGTTAATTATTTGCTTTGTTTCTCTTGCTACTTTCTCCCGCTCATTGTTTTTCTTTCTTGCTCTGTTCCCCCTATCTGCCTCTTGCTGCTGCAACATTGTAGGCTCAGATTCATGCGGATGGCAAAACTGTTCACTCACCATCCTTATCAAAATAGTTATGTAATCAGGGGAGAGCAGTTTCTTATCTTTCAGAACAGTGTGAGTAAACCCCCCGCCCCCCCCCCACTCCTGTTAGTACATCTACAGCAGTGAAAGCTAAATAGTGCACCGTTGTTAAATGCTTATCTTGCTGGGTGCTGAGAGTTGCAAACATGGCCCTGATGCTAAATCTGAAATCCGTGGCTAAAAGCTACTTCTGATTTTATTCGGTAACTGATGCTGTTTATGTCACAGTTACAAATAAGGAACCGGATCAGGATAACACTGGGATCTGTAGGTTCAACGTAAGAATAACAGTGCTGTCATCAAAGGCTAGACGTTTTTTATAGTAACACAAGATCTTGAGATGGGAATGACTTCTATTATTTTATGATATTTTAATTAGTTTCAAATATGTTGTGGATCTGATACATTCCTTTACCTGGCTTTAAGATATTGGGAGCTGGAGGGCATTTCTCTCCTCCGCAGTCGGCCACAACTTCATATTGGGAGCTTTGCCAAAGATTCCAAGACAGTTACAACAAACGCCTTAGTAATTTGAGTGGCTCATTAGTTTGTCACCGTCTCTAAGTGCAGGAAGCTTGCCAAGTTGGACCTTATGTCTTGCTTGTTGTTACACAGAACTGAACCAGCGAAAGGTACATTGGGAAGACAAAAAAAATGCCTTTTGTGCCTTAAACTAGAGAATGGCGTGAGGTGCAGTTGCAAAGGTCCAAAATTGGAGAAATGAAACCAGCCTTTTGTTGATAACTAATTTGCTGGTTATTTGTGTGGCAGTTTGGTTTGTTGGTCTTTCGTGCAGCAGGGCAACCAAGGTTACTGAGAGCCTCCACCATAGAGAGGAAGCAAGAATAGCAAGACTAGTCAATGCAGCTTGGGTTTGGATAAATGCATGTAGACGGAGCTCAAATAATTTTAGGTATCTTCTCCACTTCACTCCTGAGAGCACAGATGATGCGCTGAGGTATAGTTCTGTGGATACCTGGCACCTTATGTTACCTCATCCAAGTGAGTAACAAAGGGTGGCGTATCCACTAATATTTTCACCTAATGTCTCATTTGCATTTTCTAGCAGTGGTCAGTCAGAAATGGGAGCACTGACTAGTGTCTCTTCGCCCCCCCCACCCCAGCATATTTATATTTTTATTTCATTCCCCGCATACTTCATTTTTCTTGCCGCTTCTCACTCCCTTCTCTCTGCCGCCCCCTCCCCGCACTGGATTATGATGAATACTTGGAAGAACCATCGCATAAATAATCAGATGCATGTATTGGATGAAAATAACCAAAATTTTGTCCTTAACTGTTAGCAAACAAGAAGGTTTCAGTAATTAATAAAGAATGCAGATTTGCTAAAAGGAGTGTTCTTGAAATACGATGGTTGCACTTCAGACAATTAGGATTAGATTTTTTTTTAAATAAGCCTATTTGAGAGAAATGAAGAGAAACCAGTTTGGATTTTATCCATACATGTGTTAGGAAGTGTGACCCTGTGCCCTCTTAACCATATTTTGAAGTACAAACTCTAAACTCAGCATGAAATATTATACCATACACCAAAGTTGAAAAGTTCAGACAGCTTTTACATGAAGGAAGGTTGGATATGATGCGTCCAATCTCTTTAAACGTCTAATAAGTCAATTAAAATAACAAAATAATTAAATGAGCAGCAGTTGTATTCCTTCCTGTCAGCAGGAAGCCTGTACGAAAAGTTAAGTAAACAGATATATGATTAACTACAACAAATTGTATTTATCTCGGGATGACAGCTTACGGCATTGGAAAGATTAAGATGCTCATATTCTCACAAATGTGTATTCTAACTTTCATAGTGTTGTGAATGATTTCTACATATTTCCCTCTCTGTTCCTCATCCCTGCCCCCGCATAGAGAAAGTAGAATTCTAGCTATGCAAAAAAAAACACTAATTTTTGCCTTCCACACAGAATCTCTTTTAGTTGAGGAAATGGGGGTGGAGAGAAGAAAGTTTCTCAAGGGCGTAAATGAAGCAGCATTCTTACCCTGAAGCAGCATTCGTACTGCTAATCTATCAATTTCTTGTGCTGGTTTGTTGAAAGCATTTCATCGGTGATCCTGGGATTGATGCACTCAAAACATCTTATGGTTAAAGAGTGATGGAAGTCCTCTCTACTTTATATAGGTTACTAATAATGGCTTGACCTACTGGTGTTTGTGCATTACCCTCTGAGAATTATGATTGCTGACGCGTAATCAGTCGTCTTTCTATTCCCCCTCTTCAGATATTGGTACAATGCGGGGAGAAAGCTTCTGAGGAGCCACTGCCATTGTTGGAAGTCTATCGGATTTCTATCCAGAGTTACACGAGTGCCAGGCCTTACCTCACCACAGAATGTACTCATGTTAATTTTGTACTCGGTCGATTAGCAATGTAAGTTTTTTTTTTAATTGTATTAGTCTGTTTCGAAAAATACAGGGAAAATAATGTGAAGTCCTTCAGGAGTAGTAAATTTATCTCTAATTCTATTTTTTTATTGTTCAACCGAATGGTCAATTGGGCCATAATATCTGAGCAAATGTCCAACCCTTACAGTCAGACTTGCTGCAAAGCACTGCCTGCTGCTCCTTTTAGGCTTTTTTTTTAAATGGTATTTGGACACTTTCAGGTCCTGTGTAGATTTCTGCAGCTAAACGCTCAGTTTAAGAAAATGATCTGCTTTTGTAGCTGTCATTCAGTGAAGTAATAGCTAAGTTAAACCTTTGCCAGGTGATGGATTGTGGACACCATTGTAGCGTAGCGATAACAGCATGTGCTTCACAGTGAGGAGGCTCAAGTTCCATAACGTTTCACACGTCTCTTGATCTGCTAGCGTCCATTACAATCAGTTTTTGGGCCAAGATGTTTGGCAGAGGACTGTGTGATAGCTGAAATCATTAAAATTACAGCGTAGGCGGAAGTAAATTAACCAATAGAACAAACCTATGCTTATACTCCCTGCTCTACTGGGGTTAGCTATTCTAATTCCACTTCCTTGCTCATGTATCCTTTTATATTTTGCTTCAGATGTTTCTCAAACTCCCTTTTAAATATTAATCAGTCGTCACAACTGGCAAAGCCTTGCTTGTTGTAATAACCCTCTGCATTGATAGTTTCTTCTAAGAACCCCCCCCCCCCCCCCCCCCCCGCCCCTTAATCTTGAGTTTGTGCCCCCTTGCTATTAATTTAGCGGTCATTGGGAGTAATCTTTCATTATCTATTCTCTCAAAGTCTTTCAGAATTTTGAAGACCTCTGTTAGGTTGGTTTTCACTGGAAAAGGAACTAACTGTGCTCCAGTCTGTGGTTTTAGTGAAAGAGTAGGGGATAGGGTAAATGATACTGATATCTTCTCTCAAGAACATCATGCCCTCTGTCCTGTGAAATGGCTGTGTACTGCATTTGAATGACGGTACCCGCTCTTTAATAATTATTTTAATTAATAAAATGCCTGAAGTGTCCAACTTCATCCGTTACCAAATAACAGTACTCCGTTTTACCGAGCGGTGCAAAAAATGTTTGATTTCTGCAGCAAATAATCTCTTCTGCGTTAGAATTGTGAAACATAAAAGGAGCTTGGTTAATGGTTCTTGCCTGTGTTTGATGTTTTCAGGAGCTGTTTTGAGCTGCTGTTGTCCCTGCCTGCAGATGAGGTTCCCCAAGGCGTGTGGCAGCAGCTGCAGCAGACATTGCAAGTGAGTAGATGTGTGACCGAAGCCTTCTTTCTGCTTGAAGTGGTTGTACACAGGGGAATATTTTTTATCAAATGTTGCATGCTTTAAAGTCACTTTGAATTGATTTGTCCCCATAAGCAAGGTTATACTTTCCACCACCGGTGCTAAATGTGACCTTTCCATGTGTGCTCTGCTGAAATTTATTCTTCGTTCTCAGAAGGAACTCGATATTTCTTTGAACTTCCCCCACCCCATATTTGTTGCCCCCCAATCTAACCTCTTGTAGCGGCCTTACAGACATCTCCATTTTTGGTTCATTCTGTCGCTCTCCTTCACCTCTTATCAGGTGAATGCAGGCCCATTCAGAGCGATCTCAAGAACTACCCACAACACAATACTTATCATACGATCCATTCTTCTTTATTCAACAAGTAATATTCTACAAACAGAACTTCCAGCATACTCCGCATGACGCAAAAATAAAAGAACGTTAGCACCAGAATATCTATTGTGCTTGCTTCCCGTGTAGAGAAAAGTGTTTGAAATTAAAATTGAACTCATTAATGTTTTGAATGAAATGGCCGATTCATAGCGGGTTCAAATATAAATCTTGTTCAAAATCTATTCATGCTATATTTCAGCAAATAAAATGATACACAGACCGACTTTGGGTATTTGTGTGTCTTTATTGATGAATTATCATTGATCTCTAATCTTTTTGACAGGAATCTCACAATGTGCTGATGGATTATGGGAATAATGATCTCCAGGCACTACTGGCTATTTCTGTAGAGGGTGGTGCATGGAGAAATAAAGCCCTGCGATGCATTCTTTCACGAGAAACAGTGGAGGCTGAAGAAGGTGAGAATAACACAGCTTTACATAAAGTTCTGTAGCTGTAATGTTCCTTTTAAATCCATTATTAAAAAAAAAACATATTTGGTCACTCGATCCACGACTGTTTGTGGGACAGCATTTGTTGTCAAATGCATCAGCACATTTTCGCACCTGCGGAACTGCTGCATTTCGCCCACGAAATGTACAATCAATTTACTTCACAGTATATTCTGTGAAGCGCTTTGAGACGTCTCGAAGACGTGATAAGGCGCTATATCAAATGCAAGGATTAGTATCATAGGATTATTATCCTTTAAGACGGTTTAAGAGGTGTGCAAATGTGCTGCTGCATTTGACCTCAAATACATAGTTACTATACTTCTCAGTAAATTCTGTGAAGCGCTTTGCGTCATCCTCCTGATGTGAACTTTGCTACCACCAAATGCCAGGACTAAATATTATTTTGTTTGTACAGTGAAAAGCTACTTAACCCAGGAGGGGCCAGTGTACCTTGAGATCCGAATTAAACACCTACTGAAGTCCGATCGTACACTTGAGGCAATGCTGCTTGCAAAGTGTTGCACAGAAACCCCTGAAATTAGCAGCAAAGGTACTTTTCGACAAATCTACCTCACCTGCCTGTGCAGTACAGGGCCCAATGAGGAGGCAGCAGAAGAGGTGAGTGAGCTAATTATGTGGTCACCGTGTTCGCGCTCCTTGGTGCTGTCAGGCGTGAAGGGCTCAATATACGTACAAATTGTTGTTGTTAATGCTGTACTTGTAAGAGCTGAAGCAATTACGACACTTGCAACAAAAAAAATCCTCCCCCCCAATTGATAGTTTTCCACTGGAAAATTTTATTTTAAACTGTAGATTTTCTTTTCTTTTGTACTTAAATCAACTTTGTAAATTGCAGTTCCACTTGTCCATTTCGTTTATATGTTAATGTTGCTGCTACGTTCGTTTCACCCACAAACTACACAATCAATCCACTTTGGAGTATATTTTGTGAAGCGCTTTGAGACATCTCGAAGGCGTGATAAGGAGCTATATCAAATGCAGGGATTATTATTATATCAAATGCAAGGCATATTATTATTACCTTCTGGAATTTGTAATGATTTGGTTCAAGGAATAATGTGACCATAAAACACTTTCCAGTCTCATCCCAAACTCTTGTTTTTGTTAGATCACACGCATTGACTGCAAGGAAGTGCTGGACATTATTTGTAACTTGGAGTCTGAAGGCCAGGAAAACACCGCCTTTATTCTGTGCACAACTTTCTTGACCCATCAACTGCAGCAAGAAAGTGTCTATTGTTCCTGGTAAGTTCTTGATGCCTTGAAGATTTTACACGGCCTCCAAATCTGCACACACGCACACCCACATTCTTTGGATTTATTAAGAATATCTTAATAAGTCGCCCACAAAATATACAGTCAATTCACCATATATTCTGTGAAGCACTTTGAATCGTCTCTAACGTGATAAGGCACCATATCAAAAGCAAGGATTATTATTGTTATCTGTGTTACTGGGAATGTAATGCTGGGTTTCCCTGCACGCAAAAGAGTTCATCTCTCTGTTTTCCTAGTGTTTCTCCCTCCACTTCCCCGTGTCTTTCCCACCACCCCCTCATGTTGAATTTTATCCTAACGGTGCTGATCTTATTCATAGGCGAGCGAGAGATAATTGTTACAGATTGCTGCTACCACACTATCACTGGTGAAATGTATCTGTTCATCTGTGATTATTTTAGCATGTCGGGCTTGATGTACAACGGAGGCCTTGTGGTGACGATGTTTGTTCTCCACACCTGTGCCACTGCGCCATTCTTGTTTGTTTTGCTTTAAATCATCCCATTTGTAAAATCCAGTATTTATTTCAGCAGCTAAATGATGAACAGGATTTCTCAGTGTTCTGGGAGAGCAATTCCCCAAATAAAATTGTGCCAACAAATCCCCCAAATAAAATTAATCACTCACTCCTTGGTGAGTGAGTCACTCACTCACTCATAAAGAGACGTTGCTGTGCGCAGATTAATTGCTGCATTTGCCCACAAAATATATGTAATCTTACCACTATACGTTCTATCCTGTGAGCACTTTGAGACAAGGTGATGGGTTGGCATAAGCTTAGAGGAGGAGATGGGATCTCCTTATTGGTGCCTTGATCTGAAGCTGAGCAAATTCACCTCTGATCAGGAGGCTTTTTGAAAAGACATGCATTTGGTTTACCCCAGTCATGAGTAAGAATGCACATCTACTGTTAAAAGGAAGGCTACACCAGATCTTAGGAAGAATCACTCCCTCTGTAAACCTTCCATCTATTAGGTTCCTTCGCCCTGTGTCTGACATCGATTGCTTTATGTTTTGGATTTATTTGTGCTCTTATAAACTAATCTCCTGCTTTCTGCCTCTGTGAAAGATCTGAGAGAATCCAGAAGGAGAATCTATATATAGCACTGGCTGGGGAGATCACATTGGCACACCCATTCTGAAAGGGACCGTGCCTTCAATTGGTCATGCTGTTCATTTATGCCTAGATCATGAATAATAAAATAAGTAATAATCCTTACATTTGATATAGCACCTCATCATGTCGTTGAGATGCCTCAAAGCGCATCACAAGACATACTGTAAAGTGAATTGACTGTATTTTGTGGTGCGAAAATACCTATATTCAAAATAAGACTAGTACAGCTGCATAATGCAACATTTATTGTGCTTGACCCTGCTTTACAGGATTTGGGAATTAAAATATATGGGAAATCCGATCATGCCTCTTAGTTTGGTATCCCTGTTTTGTAAATTGAAATCGAGCTTTCCTCAACTCTACTAATCCTACTTTATAGGATTAGCCACAGCTTCCTCTTTGTTGCATTGTTAAAATTGTGTTAGTTAGTAAAAGCTTGAATGAATATTGTAGTGCCAACCATGTTTAATAAACATCAAGTCGAATTGGAACAGTTTAACGTAAACTTCCTCTTAATAGTGAGTCTGCATTTGTTATCTAGAGTGTCAGAGGCAACCAGATGTGAACAACAACAACTTGCATTTATGTAGAGCCCCTCACACAGGGTAGCGTCCCAGAGCGCTTGACAGTGGCGGAGCACAACCCTGAGCTGGAGGGGAGTGGGGTGGGGGGTGCGATGACCGTAGGCAGGCGCGACCAGAAGATGGGGAAGGAGGGGGCAAGAGGAAGAGTAAAAGGTGAAACAAGATGTACTGGAAAGAAAAGCTGGTTTAGTGCTGCCATTGTTTTTTTTTCAATCCACAATACCTTCAAATCTCCCCAGAAAGTCCCTGTTCAAATACACTGATCTAAAATGTTTTTCTTTCTGTAAAGGGAACTCACTCTTTTTTGGAGCAAGTTACAGCGGAGAATGGACCCCTCTTTGGATTCCTTCCTGGAGCGCTGTCGGCAATTGGGAATCAGCGCAAGAACTGTGTACCATATATTCTTCCTTATAAAAGTCATCCAATCTGAAGTAAGATTTTTGAGAGCATTCTTAATTTTATAAATGGAACAGAAATGCTATTACATTTAATGACATTAGTCCTTTAATTTTGCAGGAGTTCTGTCCAAAGAAATTCCTTTCCATGTAGAATGGTCGTCTCTCTCTCTGCTTGTCAGTTATTGGTGGTTTTCGTGAATAGAACTGACCCTGATTTTTTTGTTGGCTGCATATAATCCACTTACTTTGTTGTATTGCCCAGCGCAGTATTCAACCACTTCTGTATTCAGTGTTTCTCTGCTCCTGCTTTTGATTATGTAAGGTTTCGGTTGATGCGTGGAACTGTATAAAGCTGTTCTGCTTCACATCTTTCCAAGTAATCCCTTCTTTCTGTGCAGCGCTGTCTCAAATTTGACAAAGCAGCGAAGCATACCAAGACAGTGATAAACATAAACCCCCTTCTAAAATTAGTGGCATTTGTGTTCCTTGCTGTTGCTTCTAGCTCGTATTTGCCTTCAGTTGAATTTGCATAAATTTAACACGCAGGCTGACGTAACCACAACTATTCTGCCTTTCAGTGATTCTCTCATGGAAGAATCCCATCTATTAATTTGTAAGCTGTTTTTCAAAGAAAATCTGCTGTGGAGTTGCCCAATTTGCTACAGCGATAAAACACTGGGACAATGGTTAATTGTAAGGTTAGCGTGGAGCGTGGTGTATTATTAACAATTGGTATTACCCGCTGGACCTTATCTCCGGCTTAGGGAAGAGAATGTAGGTCAGCGTTCCTGCTTGTGGTGACGAGACAGTGCCCCCTGCTGCCACGTGGGAGTATGTGTACATCTGGTGAGGAGCGTCTGACTGAGTGCCAATCCCACCCCCATGTGATGGAATATCCCACTGACGCTATTGTCAGCTCCACCTGAAGATTGGTCCCTTCAACAAGATGCCAGAGAGCTGGCAGCTCTCGTAAAGTCATATCTCTGCAAGCATTACTCCAAATGCCTTCCTTAAAAAGGTCAGAGCAAAGCCTTCCGATTTTATCCCCCACAATCAGCTACTCAGTTGTGTGTAATCAGTGACACACTGTGCAGAAGCTGGCAAGGAATTATGTGCTACTACTCATATAGAATATATTGATGGAATGCAACTTATACAATACAAATTTACATTTATATAACACCTTTTGTGTCAGGGGGGCTGGGTGGACACACTGCCAAAAGATCCTAAAGTCTTCTTTAGGGTGGAAGCTAATGTAACTCTTCTTTTCTCTTCTTTCCTAGGCTGAAGGAGCTGGTCTCCCCATTTCCATTGAGCTGTGTGTAGGAGCCCTCCGTATTCAGTCCAACACCAATTCAGAAATGCAAATATCAATCTGTAAAACCATTGCATGCTTGATGCCGGAGGACCTTGAGGTTCGGCGAGCTTGTCAGCTCACTCAATTCCTGCTGGAGCCTGGCCTGGAAGCGTACCGTGAAGTGGAAAGGCTATATAACCAGCCCGATCAAAAGTGCAATGAAGAAAATGGCCCTATACCAAATTCATTACGCTGTGAACTCCTGCTGGCCTTGAAAGCCCACTGGCCCTTCGATCCGGAGTTTTGGGATTGGAAAACTCTGAAACGACATTGCCGTGGGCAACTAGGTGATCAAGCGACTGAAATTTCCGAGGATGAACTTAGCGAAGACGAACCCAACGATAACGAACTCTTTGATCAGATGAGTAGGATGCAAGATTTGGAGAATGAGAGGAGAATGAAAGAGCAGCTCGAGAGATTCACGGACGTTCCTTACAAAAAGAAGGAAAAGGTCATGTCCGAGAGATACTACAGGTGGCTCCAGAACATGTTCTTTTGTGTACTGTGCAAGAAAGATTATGTGGTGGCCAGAATCGTACACCATGCCAAGACGCACGTCAGAGATGGGATCTTCTCGTGTCCCATTTGTGCGAAGAAATTCAAGAAGAAGGAGCTTTTCACCCCGCACGTGAAGGAACACATAAAGAAACCCAAACGAGAGAGGAAACCGAAAAAGAAAGAGGACACGCCTAAGCTGACTCAAGCTCTATTCAATGTGGCCACATCTCCCAAGCCCCAGCCTTCAGCGGGTGAAGAAAATGAAAAAGAGGGAGAAAATGACTACATAGTTTTCAGTGGAAGTGATTCAACAGAGGAAGGGAAAGCCGGTTTGGCCAAGCCTCAAGCCAGTGAACCTTTACTGTCCCCGTGGACTGAAAGTTATCCGTGTCCTGGTACAGATTGTTCAAGATCTTTCAAATACTACAAAAATCTAACCGCGCACTTAAAGAACGACCACTTGGACAATGATGATAATGTCAGGCACTTTCTCGAAATGAACAACAGGAAGGCCTTGTGCAAGTATTGCCGGCGCCATTTTGTCAGCGACTTCCATCTTAAAGCTCACTTAAAAGTACACTCGGGCTTGCAGCCCTATATCTGCATTCAGATGGACTGTAACGCCAGCTTTCAGGCCTTTGCGGAGCTGGTGAGGCACAGAAAGCAGCATAAGGAATTCAGATCGAAGTGTACTTTTAAGGGCTGCAGCAAGGTTTTCAGCGGGTCCTGCCTGCTTTACCACCACGAAGCTCAGCATTACAGAGAAGCCGCTTACTCCTGCAACACCGCCGGCTGCAAGAAATTCTACTTCTCCAAGAGCGAGTTCGAAAACCACCTGCAAACGCACGGCATAACAAATTGGGAAAACCCAGCTGTGAAAACCAAGGAAACGGACTCCCCGGAAAGTCTGGTTGCTGCCGGCAATCATTCCGTAACTCCAGACAAGAATCTCTGTGGCGGCGAGGCCTTGAATGACGTCGCCGGGAAGTCTTTGCAAAGCTGCAGTTCTTCTCTGGCCCAGAGAACGGAAGAGGGTGAAATCAATGCCACGCCCGCACGGTGTCCGAGCAATTCCTGCCACAGTGGCAGCGAGGGAGGTGGGGGAGATCAGGGGCTCGTGAGCGAGACTAAACCCGGCAAGAGCAATTCTCCGAGCGTCTATTCTGAAAACCTACTGGTACCGTTAGAGAAGCTGGCGTCCTTTAAGGAGTTGAGCGACATTGAGGACATGATGAAAGCGGCAACGCTGCATCCGGAGCTAAATCGGGCCGCCAACCAAAACTGCCGCGACCTCACAGATGTCCTGGCACATCTGCATCACTTCATTTGCGGGGTCGATGGCTGTGTGATGAGGTACACGTTGGCAAAGGAACTGAAGAAGCACGTGAAAGTGGCTCATCCGAGTTACTACAAGGGCAAGAGGCAGATAAAGGAAGAGTGCGGCGATGTGGTTGACGTTTCCACATTACAGGGGTCACAAGAGCAGGCGGCAGCGTCCGCAACTCGGCTAACGGAGGAGTCTGGCGAAAATAAGAACCTTTTGCTGAAGCCTCTGAAAATCAAGAGGCCCAAGAATAATCGGAACGCCAAGTGGCCGGCTATTTTTAAGGACGACAAGTTTGTGTGTTCCAGGTGCTTCAAGGAGTTTTCCAACCCCAAATCGCTGGGAGGCCACCTGGCTCGCAAGATCAAATGTCCGTTGCTCAACGATACTCCGGAGATGATTGCAAGAGAGAATCCTTGCACAAACCAACCTGCCAAAGCTGCCAGTGTTGCTGATGTTCCGAACCTGGACGGCCTTATCAGAGCTCTGCAGAAGCTGCAGTTGGATCAGTCGAGAGCGTTGGTGGATGAGAAGGTCTGTGCTTCCACTTCAGCTTCAACTTCCTTAGGAGTGATCTCTATTGGGAGTGTCTCTCTTCCAGCACCTCCCACGAACGCTTCTTCCCACAATTCCCAAAGCGACCTTTCGAACGAGGGCTCGGGAATCATTAAGCCATTTGTCTGCGACCACGAAGGGTGTGTCTTTAAGGCAATGACCAAAGATGGCCTCGTCAACCATTATGTAAAAACCCACAAATACGCCCGGGACAAGGTTCTTCAGTTAAACCGCTTTCAACTCAGGTTTGCGCCCTTCAAATGCCACATCTGCCTAAGAACGTTCACCAGAAAAACGAACCTTAGAACTCACTATAAACAGATGCACATGTTCAGTAAAGAAGACATGAAGGCAAAGTTATCCTATATAAACTGTATCTCAGTTCCTAGCAATGCAAATCAACAGCTGGCAGTACCAAATTTACTGATCAAAACTGAAAACAACAACAGCCTGTGCCTGCCTGCGAGCACCTTGTTGGGTGGTGTGAAAGTGGAAGAGAGGCTCTGTTTGCCTCAGAATACAAAGCTCCCCACGAGCGAGGGCGGTTGTTCCCACCCGGTTAACACCTACCAGTCTAAAGACTATGCTTTATTGGGGGTGGAGGAGAATGCGCGACACAGCATGGAATGCGGAGACTGGCGCCAGAGCGGAAGCGATTCCGAGAACACGACGAACGAATCGTTTACCACCGAGCTGGAATCTTCCGAGTCCACGGAATCTTTGAAGTCCGAGGAGATGCACCTGAACGGGAGCCCAGAGACCGGCTCGGTCCCGCTGGACAGCGCTGACGATTCCGAGTTCAAGGAGGAGGGCAGAGGCAGCAGGAGAGTCGGCGCGAAAACCAACCTGTGCTACATGCTGAATAAGTATCACAAACCGTACCATTGCATCCACAAGGGCTGCACGGCGGCCTTCACGGGCCAGCCGAACCTGATCCGCCACTACCAGACCGTCCACCAGTACAACCGGGAGCAGATGTGTCTGGAGGCCGAGCAGGGGAGCGCCAAGAAAGACAACGCCAAAGTCAAGAAGATCTTCAAGTGCAAGATCGAAGGCTGCACCAAACGCTTCCAGTATCCTCGAGTCCTCCTGAGGCACTACAGTGAAATCCACAGTCTTCCGGGAGTTGAGCGTCGAAAGCACCCGTGCAACCAGCCCGACTGCATCTCCTCGTTCAACGCCTACAGCGACCTCCGCCGCCATTTACAGCAGGCGCACGACGTGGATTATCAAGTGAAGCGGGAGCTCGGCCTGCAATTCAAGTGCAGCATCGACGGTTGCAGTCGCACCTACTCCATCCGCTCCAGCTACCTGCGGCACGTGCAGAGGCAGCACAAAAACCATTACAAGTCCATACTACTGAGACCCCGCAAGAACAATTGGTACGACCTGGAGCCTGACTTTCAAGGGGATGACGTTAAAGCTGAAGGCGCCTCCAAAGCTGAGCCTCGGTTGAAAATCTTCAACCCGGCGCACCTGACCGACGAGGACACTTGCGACTCGACGGAAAGGGCCGACCCCGACTTCCAGAGCGACGAGGAGCAGCTCACAGACGATGAGGACGACACGTACGACTCGTCTCCGAAGGACAAGTCCGATTTCGAATACGACAGCAGAGGCCGAAAACCCCGGTCGAGTTTCGGGCGCCGTCGCAGGAAGCGCCGCTCCGACGGCGATCCGGGGAGGTTCAGGCCGGGCGCTTATCCCGACGACTCGTGTGACTCTGCAGCGCAGGACGAGGCTTGCGACCGGGGCCCATCTGCGCTCGCCTCCGAGTGTCCCAGGCACGAGAAGGACTCGAGGCGGTCGCGCAAGCAGCATTTTGTGCTCAAGAGTAAAGAGCACGGCTTTGCGATCTGTAAGACCGAGCTGCTGAGGGATCAGTTTCCCTGCATGGTCCTCGGGTGTCGATCGGTGGTGCTGAGCCGGCACAGCGCCGTGAGGCACTACAAGACGCAGCACAAAATGACGGCTACGTACATCAATCAGAACTGCAGTTGTCTCCTGGTCTGCAAGAAATACCCCGACGCCACACTCCGCGAGAAGCTGGGATCCGATCCGCTGACGCTTCCGAAAAAAGTCCTGTCCGAACCAAACGAGGAGACTCCCAGCTGCAGCGTTCTCAGGCAACAGAACGGCGAAGTTCCCCTGAAGCTGGAGATCAAGAACGAACCTGACGCGGGAGGTCACGGGCAGCCGCTGCATAGCTGCAGCGTGGGAAACGGGAACAGCCCGAGCTGCGGCGGAGGCTTTCCCGGTAAGGCCGTCAACGCCAGCGCCACCGGGGTGACAAACTGGGGCCCGAGCTTCAAAGAGAACGATGCGAACCAGGTGTTTCTGCCTAAAAACGGAGGGATACTCACCAACCTGGTGAAACAGAGCGGGAACCAGAACGGCTCGCTCTTCGTGAAGCTGAAGCAGCCTCAGAAAAGGAAATCCGAAACCGAGGGACAACCGCAGAGAACCGACCCCTGCGTGTATTCTGCCGTGACGCAGGACTCGCTGTTCGGCACCGGCAATCTCCAGGACAGCGCAGACCCTCCGCCCAAACCGTTCGACTTGACGACCTACAAACCCATCGGCTTCGAAGCCTCGTTTCTGAAGTTTATCCAAGAGAGCGAGGAGACCGAGCCGGAGGTCGATGAATCGTGGCACTGGGAGCCCACCAAACGCTGCAGATCAAACACTCCGCAAAACGAGAGCCGGATCGACTCTGGATTGAGAGGATCCGGGAAGGAAGGCTACGGCGAGTTCAACGCAGACACCGCCGTGCACAGCACCTTCACGGCAATCCAGCCTCTCATCTCGCCAGGGCAGTCGCCTACTCTGGAGAACTTGAGGACTATATTGGACAAGGCACTGACAGACTGCGGAGATCTCGCCTTAAAGCAGCTGCACTTTCTGCGGCCAGTGGTCGTCCTGGAAAGGTCCGAGTTCTCCACTCCCCTGATCGAACTGTTCCCCACGAAAAAGAGCGACGAGCTCTGTGTGGGGAGTTCCTAAAGTACTATTTGTAAATCTTATTTTGCAAACCAGAAATCACTATACTGTAACCTATATAGAGTGTTGACAAGTGCTGCAGAGTATACAAAAGCGAACACAACTGGGGGCTTCCACTTGGGAAAACGAACCCTTAGTTTGTTCTGGTTTTGTGCATGACGTGTGTAATCTGAACAAGTATTAGGGTACTTATGGGGGATTAGTAGTTCTCACGGAAAAAGAACTTGAATGTGCACAAAACTGGTGCTCTTCTGTAATAATGTACACTACATCTCCTTTATGTATGGGTTTTGAGAATAGTACACTTGGTCAATTAAATGGCGATTTTTCACAAGGCATTGTATTGATGGATTTGTATCATAAATTGTAATGATTTTTTTCTATTAAAAAAAAGTTCACCTAGATATCCACGGGGATCAATACGACGTTAGCACCAGTCTACTCATTAAATACTCTTTTTGTTCCAGCAAAAGCGTGTCCTGGCCCATTTTAGGTTGAATGAATGCATTTATCCTCCTCCGCTAAAATCGATTGACCGTCTTGACAGCATTGGGTTAAAAGAATAGTTTAGAAAGTCGGAGCGTGTAGAGCAGGTGGCGTTTTTCTGCTTTAGCCAATTTCTAAATGTTTGACTTCTTGCAAGATTTCTACATTGGTACTGTAAACTTCACATAAGTCATATCAGTTGCGACCATACATTGAATATGACTTATGCAAAGTATGACTTATGTCAAACTTGCATAGTATTATAAACTCTTGAAAAGGACTCGGGCAGATGTATGACTTAGGTGATTGATTATACGACTTATAGAGATCATACTTGTGTGGATTTTACTGTACTTATAAATATAGGATTCTCCCTCTACTTAGCTGACTACTGTGTAGCTTTTTTCTTTAATCAGATCGTGGTTCAATTTAGCAAACAAAAAACCAGGGACCAAATTGCAGTATTCATTCCCTTTATTTTTAACTGACTCTCCACTCCGTTTCATCTCACTTAGAGTGCAGTGATCTCCCGAGCGACTGAATAATTCAATTTCTTTTGTGTTTTGGGGGCCGTGCTTGCGATTCTTGTAACTGAAACCCACCATATCTTGTGTACGTGTGTCTTGATGTAGACACGTACAACGCTCACATTTTCCGACACATTTGCGTCGAGCACAGTTGAAGAAAAATTAACATTTTTTTTCAAAAAAGGGGTCCCGGTGAGAATCCATTCGCACTTGCCAGCGTTTTGCTTCTACACACCGAGGCCAAAGATGCTAATGATGCAATACATTGTCTTGTTCTCCCATCTGACAGTGCAACTCCCTAAAAGACAAACCGGTCAAGTCAAGGTGATGCTAACAGCACTTAGATGTAAAACGTAACACAAGGTGTGTTTTTGCCTTTTAAGATACAAACCCAATAAAATGTCCACGACCCCATATGTGTTACGATGTTTCCCTGTGGATCCCTTAGCTCAAGCGTTGGTGTATTTACGTGTACATTACCACATACATTGTATTTCACAAGGGGAAATTTTACCGCACATTAAAACCGCGGTGAAAGTCTTACTGACCGATAAAATAATTTCTTACCATCGACTGAATTGTCCCAGAAGCACGAACTAGCGGTGTGCAAGCCTGCTCCGTTCTTTTGCATTATAACGCAGGTCACTGGAAATTAGAAGAAAGGCAAGTGAGTCTGTTGAAAACAGCAGAAACTCAGACCTATATTGTGTTGTTCGCCATTAGGAAAACCTTTCGGACGCTGTTTTTCTTTGCATTTTTGCCCTCCCACCCGGCAGCTTTTTCTGAGCTGATTTGATCCTTGCCATTGAGCTGGATATGCTTTTATTGAAGGATTGATCAAGAACTGTGAACTGTCTCGACTGGAAAGAAATTCTGAAGCACCCGACTTGAGACAACCTCACTGACCATTGGAATTTTCTGCAAATCTCGAATTAAATTTCCCTTAAAATTATTAATCGACGTGGATTGTTTTAAATCGTCAACATGTCAAAAGTTCTCGTGCAGTTGTTACACCCTTCCAAGTGTTGGTTAATATTTTAATATTAAAGGAGCTGGAGGCGTAACTGTCCTAAGAACTTTACTTCAAGATTCTCCTCTTCAACCGTGCCTTCGGTAAGCCGCCTACCCCTACTTCCCGGCCCTCCACCTTTCCTGATCCAATCCAAATCCCCGATTGTCCAGCGCCACGGGATGTCCTCCCGATGTGAAAGTTGCTATACAAACGTAATTTATTGTTGTTGAACAGTTGGCAGTAAAACTGACAGCAAATATTATATAATGAGGCATTTGGTCCTCTAAAACAGCTCTGTATAAAGAGATTCTTCTGATCTCCCCTTTTTTTTCCAGTGTTATTGAGTGGACATATCTTTATTTACCCCAATCAAGGCTTTTTCATTGCTATAGCATCACATTTAATTCACAGATAATTATTGTTGAGTCTGGCAACTGAAATAGAGGCATCACGTAGTGAAGTGCTGTAGTGTAGTGGTCAGCGCACTCGCCTCGCAAGCAAGAGGAACGGGATTCGATTCCCAGGATGGGCGAAACCTTAGGCAAGTTTCCTTACTCCACAAACCTAGCAATAAGTAGGAACTAGGTTGTTAGCCGATTGGCGTATTGCCTTCCGGGGTAATAATTGCTGAAAAAAAAGTTACTCAATCCATGACTGAGACACTGCTGTGCGCAATTGGCTACTGCTTTTCGCCCACAAAACACAGTCCAATCCACTTTACAGTATATTCTGTGAATCACTTTGGGAAGTCTCAGAGAGGCGATAAGGGGCTGTATCAAATTATTATAATATATTATATTATTAAGCACTCACCAATGTATTTAAAGGGTTTGGCTAACTTGGTGAGTTGGTTCAAACATTGCTCCACCACGGTTGAGGTCCATTGGTTGACCTTATTGTGCTGGTAAGCGTTCCCTCCAATTGTGCTCTCCACCGCCTGGGAATGTCGAGATTGAAATTAAAAAAAGAACAGCGTCAGAAATCAAATCAGACGGTTGCCGGGACAAAACTAAAATCCAATTAGAAAAATGAGATCCAGAATAATGTACTCACTTCTTTGATGATGGTGCTGATATCGTCAACAACAAAGGCATTCTGAAAAAGAGACCAAAAGCAGCTGCGTAAAGAAAACACGTCGTAGTAGAGGTGATTTGAGAGTTCTTAACCTCGTTGGAAACGGCTTTGTTAAGAAATTCACTTGGGATTTATACACATATATACACATATATAAAAGTTTTCTACTTAACGCTCCTTTGTTTTAGCAAACTTGCATTTCTCATCCTTACATCTGGTGTAAAGCCTCTGCACATCGGGAGGAATGTCTCAAAGCGCTTCACAGGATTCAGCATAAAGTGGGGGGGGGGGGGTGGTGGGTGCCTGTGTTTTACGGGCTAACACGGCAGCCAGTTTGCACAAGGCGACGTCCCAGCAAACAGCCCTGAAGCAAGTGACCAATTTTATCTTGGGGGCGGTGGGGGGGAGGGGGGGGAATATTTGGCCAAGCATTTTAATTGGCCTTGGCATTTCTGCTATTGGTGGTCCCTTGCAAATTGGTCTGACTGCTGTGTGATGTGTTACACCATCTCGCTCAACGCAGCACACCCCTCCGAGCCTGGAGATGGCTAACTAGTTCAATGCAATTAAATGATGACAGCTTTGGAGGGGGGAGGGAAGAAAGGGGATTAGTGATGGACAATGAGGAAGAAAGCAGCTCGGGATAATAAAAGGTCTTTAATTATATAAGAGCTTATTGAGATGAAATTAAAAAGGGTTTCTCGGTATTGCACATCTTGCCTCTGTACTCAAACTGACGCCAATATTAATAAGGAAAGGGCTCGATCAAAGCTTTTTGATAGACTCTTCCCTCTCCCCCTCCCCCCCCCCCCCCCTAATCTAACCCTAGGAGTAAAGGAAAGGGAGAAACTACATACAAACAGAAGGAAACCTCTGGGTGTTTGCTGGGCAAAAAATTTGCAGCCAAGTTTTTTTTAAAAGAACACGCAAAATATATATTTATTGCAAATCATTGCAATGCTGGGGTTTTTTTTAAATGTATTTTTTATGCTGTTTAAATCCCCAGAGAATAAAATCCTGCAACGTGGCAAATGGACAAAGGAAATGGACAAAGGAGAGAGACAGACACACACACACACACACACACAGAGCAGGGAGCTTCGCGGAAGGTCTGATCAGCCCCAAGACAGCGCTGGGAGATGCCAGGAATGTGTGAAAAGGCTACAGTACCTCTTCCTGCTCTTCCCCAGGCTGAAAGTCGTCCATGTTCCCAGCCCCTGGTTGTGTAACTACAACAAGCCGATCACCAGGGCACTGGGCAAGGCAGCAGCATTGGGGGTGGGAGCAAACCCAGCAAGCAACAAAGAGCAGGAACCAGCGCACACATAGACAGGGATGTCATGGATTGAGTGATTGATTGATTGATTGATTGATTGAATTGATTGACGGACAGAAAAAGATCGCGAGATTAAAAAAAACACAACAATTACATTTGTATAGCGCATTTCACATCATCCCAATAGATGGATGGATATACAGAGAGAGAGAGAGAGAGAGAGGGGGGGAAGGAGGGAGGGAGGTAGGAAGGAAGGAGATATAAATCCACTTTACAGTGTATCCTGTGAAGAGTCAGACAGTTGTGGGTTCAAGCCCCAGGTCAGGACTTGGGAATCACATAGTCTAAGCTGACACACCAGTGCAGTGCTGGGGGAGGGGGGCTTTATATTGTCAGCGGTGCCGTCTTTTGGATAAGACGTTAAACCGAGGTCCTGTTCGCCTGTTCGGGTGGACTTTAAAGATCCCGCGGCGCTATTTGAAAAGAGTAGGGAGTTTCTCTCTCCCGGTGTCCTGGCCAACAATCTCCCCAAATGAAAAAGTTGGTCACTCACTCCATGACTGTTTGTTGGACATTGCTGCGCGCAAATTATCACCGCGTTTCGCCCACACAATACACAGTCACACCACTTTATATATCCTGTCAAGCGCTTTGAGACATCTCAATGATGTGATAAGGCGCTATATCAAATGCAAGGTTCATTATTTGCTGCTATAATGATGGCGACAGGCACAACAGAAGCAGCATTCACTCTGCGCTGATTTAATAATTTTTTTTATTTGGCCAAAGTGGACAGTGAACGGTTCATTGGGTTCTGACAGTAAAGTGACTTGCGTTCACTGTATGTGCAGTGATTCCGGCTCTCTCCGAGACACGCAGGAGCTCTGATACCAGATCACCCTGCAGCGAGGGGAAGACTTTGCTCTCTGCTTCAGGAGCCTCTTCTGCTGCCCTATTTGATCGACGAGATAAACGATGGTATCTTCCATGGCACCAAGCTTCCACTCCACCTGGTGTAGCCTCCTCCCCAACCTCTCTTGTACGCACAGCGCCCTCCGCAGACATTGTACCTCTCTCACCGATAACAAGTCCATCCCGAATTTTCTTTCCAAAAACTGCAGGCACTTTTCGCATAAATTCTGGGGACAGAGCATAACTTCATTGCCAATCTCACCACTAACTCTTAAATCCGTCATAACCTTAAAAGAAATTCACACCGATTTCTGAATTGCATCGAAGCTCCAACTAAGAAAAACAAACTAGGAATAATCTTTTGGGATTCGATTTCGATGTAGTGCCTAATAACACATCCTTAAATTTGATATGGCGCCTTATCACGTCGTTGAGACGCCTGCAAGTGCTTCACAGGATATATTGTAAAGTGTAGTGACTGTGTATTTTGTGGGCAAATGCCTAGAACAGGTAACTACTGTAAAGTGTAGTGACTGTATCTTTCGGCAATTGCAAGGTTTGCAAATTGGCACATGAGCCCAAACACCCATTAGGTGAGTGACCACTTAATTGAGGGGTGGGTGGGGGGAATGTCGGCCAGAACGTCGAGAGAGACACCTGTTGAACAGCGTCAGATGTTTGTTTAACACCCCCTGGGCTGGGCAGGAGGACCAAGGGTTCAGAGTCTCCTCTGAAGGAAGGAACCTGTGACAACGCAGTGGGTCTTTCAGCACTGGTCAGACTGGGCTGTGATCTCAGGTTGTGAGGTATGGGGTTTGAACTCACAGCCTTCTGACCCAGAGACAAGGGCGCTATGAGGGGCACATTTGGGCATAGGGGGTGGGGGTGGGAGGTGGGGGGTGGGAGATTGGGAATTGTTCCAATCACTAATTACCCTCCATGCAAAGCAATAAATAAATAACAACAACTTGCATTTATGGAGCGCCCCTCACCCAGGCCAGCGTCCCAGAGCTCTTGTCAACAGCGGAGCACGGTGTCAAGCTGGAAGGAAGGGGGAGGTGACCGTAGGAAGGATCGAAGAGGAAGATCTTCAGGCACAACCCGAAGATGGCAAAGGAAGGGGCAAGGTGGGGGGGGAATAGAGGAAGAGTGTTCGTGAGTTTTGGAGCGTAGCGGCTGAAAGCGCGGCCACCCATAGTGGACCGGAGGGCACAAGGAACACGGAGGAGGCTGGAGCCAGTCGAGTGGAAGCAGCGGGTCGTGGGTTGGAGAGGTAGGGAGGTGCCAGGACGTGAAGGGACTTGAAAACGAGTGTGAGGATCTTGACATCAAAATATTTGTGTGGTGAGGAATAATATAATGCCAGGACCAAGCTTCTTCGCTCCTAGCAGAGAGAGATTTCCAGCTGCTACCCATTCTTCGAGGAGCTAACCTTGAATAGAGAGTGAATATTCTGCCTCATGAGCATGTAGAGGATGATAGATACCAGGGTTACTAAACAGGTGATGAGGATGGCAGTCGCTGTCAAGTTATTTAAAGTCTCTGAGTCGGAGTCGCCTGCCCCCAAGGAATCGGACGAGTTGGGAGGCGAACTGCATTCCGAGCTGGTGAAATCATTTGGGATGTTTTCCATACGGATTCGGCACCAGGTGGTGGATTCCGAAGCCTCGCATCGGTTGGGATTAGAGGGACACTTGGAAGAGAATAAATCGGAAGCTAATCTAACCATTTTTTTTTGCGCACACACACTCGCGCAAAATTAACTAAGCATTTGACAACCGGCGTTACCCCCAGTGCTAAACACAAACTGCCCCCGACACAATGCAACTGACAGTAAAATACAGTCTAAATGATTGTGAGGTAAAGGACTGCGTCATTCAACCCTTTGTGACGCTCCATGGTAACACGTCTCAGTCAAACCTCGTTTGAGCACTGAATTCGGATTTCTTTGCGCTGGCAATTTGAGTCGAGATATCTCAATAAATAATAATAATCTTTGCATTTGATACAACGCCTTTTTAGGTCGTTGAGACGTCTCAAAGCGCTTCACAGGATATATTGCGTTGTGACTATGTGTTCTATATGTGGGCGAAACGCAGCAGACAATCGCGCACAGAATTGTCCCACAAACAGTCATGGATTCAGTGACTAAATTTTGTGCGTGTGGAGGGTTTATTACTCCCAGAAAGTACTCCAGGTTTCCCACTCGACCCACCCTACATCGGCGGCCAGGCTTTCAGCCCCCACCCTTTGGAACTCCATCCCACAGTCCCTTCGCCTCGTTCCCTCTGTTGCCTCCTTCAAGGCACAACTCAAGACCCTCATTTTCGACCGTGCCTTCAGCCGCCCTCCTACCTCTCTCTGCCCTCCCTCACCCCAACCCTGCCCTGCTATGTTCGGGTCCAGATCCCCGACTGTTCAATGCCTTGGGACGTCCTCCCGACATGAAGGGCGCTTTACAAATGTAATTGTTGTTGTTCCTACTTACTGATAGGTAAACAGATGTGTGCGGAGTAAGGAAACTCGCCTAAAGTTTTGCCTTGCTTGGGAATCCCACCTCTTCCTCCTCACCTTCTTCCCAAATCCCTGATCTATCTGCCTCCTTTTTTTTAATGTGTCCTATTTCATTCTGTCCCGATGGGGGCACAATGCGTTCGACTCTTTTCCCAACGTTTTCCGATCTCCTAACTTTAAAACAAGGTCCCCTTTGTTTTCAGAACCTGTTTGCACCAACTCCCATCGTTTCCACTTTTAAAGTGAAAAATGACCATTTAAAAAAACGGGGATTATTGAAGAGATTTGCCTCGTATTGACCCTGGTTATTGTCCACGTTGGAGCGAATACAAGTAGACACTTTTTTTCCCCCTTCCCTCCCTCAAATAAAACCTTGCCTTGCAAGGCAAAAGGTCAGACTATTGGAGAGAGAGATTTCAGGTTTATTTACTTGAAAGGAGAATCAAACAGATTCCTGGAGGCCCTTGTTTCAGAGATTGCAATCAGGTCGGGGTGGGGGGGAGAGGACAGGCAATGAATGGAATGTCTTATCTCCTGTTCTCATCCAGTTACATTGCTTTGCACTCCAGCGGGGCCTCTGGGAATTGTCTCCACGGTTGCCTTAGCAATAGGCGTTCAGTCGCTTTGGCCGTGTTTATAATAATCTTTGCATTTGATATAGCGCCTTATCACCTCTTCGAGACGTCTCACAGAATATACCGTAAAGTGAATCGACTGCATAACCGCAGCAGCCAACCGCGCACAGCAGTGTCCCACAAGCAGTCAGTCGCGGATTGAGTGACCGAATTATTATTATTAAAGATGTAGAAGGCTGTAGGTAATGAATAATAATAGTCCTCCTTTTTTTTGGTCCTTTACCTGTCTCTCTCTCTCTCTCTCTCTCTCTCTCTCACAGTGGCAAGTCACAGTGGACGGATTGTCTCCGGCTCTGGCTGCGTGTTGCGGGCTGGAGGAGGGAGGGTTAGTGCTCTTGAGAGCAGAAACAGTGCAATTCATTATGTGGGAGCTCATTCCTCAGCACTACCAGCAGACACAGGAGGTCGTGGAATCCGTCCAAACCTGTCAGCTTGAGGGATAAGGTTCCTTTTTCCCCAGCTGTCGTCTCAGTTCCAGTGTCCCTGGGGTCACCTCCAGTAAACTGCAGTCACTCTGCCCCCTGCTGTAATGGGCAAGAACGTAAAGATTCCACAGCGGCGAACCCTCTGCAGCTTCTCATTGGCATCCTGACTCCAGCGGAATTTGCGAAACGTTTATACCTTGGAAGCCGTACGACTGTTGCCTGTTGCGTTTCCTATTCCTAGGAGTCCCGTAAGCGTGGTTGTTAGCGCGCTCGTCTCGCAAGCGAGAGGACCTGGGTTCGATTCCCAGGAGGGCAAAACCTTAGGCAATTCTCCTTACTCCACGCGTCTCTGTTTACCTAGCAGTAAGCAGGAACCCGGTTGTTAGTCGATTGGCGGATCGCTTTCCGGGGGTAATAATCCCTCCAAAAATAGTAAATAATTTGGTCACTTAATGCAGGGCTGTTTGTGGGGACGCTGCTGTGCACAATTGGCTGCTGCTTTTCGCCAACAAACTATACAGTCAATTCACTTTACAGTATATTCTGTGAAGCGCTTTGAGAGGTCTCGAAGACGCGATAAGGCGCTGTATCGAATGCAAGGATTATTGTAAACATAGTCACTACACTTTACAGTACATTGTATATTGCACACCTCAGCGTCGTTGCTGGGCAGAGTTCCAGCTGTGAACTGGATTACTCCCTGCAGGAAACTGCAGCAGAAAATCTGACATGAATGGGTTAAATCCGTGTGGGTTCTGACGCCAAAAAGCAGTTGTCTGAGCAGTGCGGTTGCACAGACTGTCAGATGGAGCCAGACAATAGAGGGATTATTTTCTAAATTCATGGTCAAACAGACCGGGGCTGAGTGTCTCCCAATCAGACTTATTAGATAAGTAGAGTCACTCCTTCAACATTCTCGCAAATAAAATGTTTTTTTTTCACACAGATAAAATTTGTAACTTTGAAGTTCGCTTCACAAGGTCACAAGCGCGCGGGGGGGGGGTGGGGGGCGGGGGGGGAAAGAGAGACCATCAGTACATTTGATCCCATCCATTAATAATTCCTCCCCTCAATCCCCTTTTGTGGGACTCTCCAGTGTCACAATTGTCTGCCGGGTCGGGTGGATGTCTTAAAATAATTTGTGTCTGTCGGTCTGTGTGCGTCTGTCTACGTCTGTCTGTGTGTTTATCGATGTCTGTGTGTGTGTCTCTGTCCGTCTGTGTCTATGTGTGTGTGTGCGCGCGTGTGTGTGAGTGTGCGCTGGCGCCCAGATCCATGGCACGCGTTTTTATTGATCCTGTATGTCACAAAGGGTTCACTAGCAGGTTGGGGGTGGGGGTGGGGGGGAGTTGGGGCGAGAGGGGAGAAAGAGAGGGTGGGAGGGTGGAAGGCAAGGGGAGGACTCTCCTACTGGCTGTGAGTGACGACGTGATAATGGAGCATCACAAAGGTTCAACCGACAGCTGTTGACTTCACAATGCGTGACCCCCCCACACCCCCGTGTCCCGAGAGAGAGAGCGCGTGCGTCCCCATCAGTTTGCCAACTGTGGCTGTGCAACACGCAGCCCAGCTGATCGCCTGGCTGGTTGGCTGGATGATTGGCATTGCTCTGGGTGTGATAATGGCCGGGCTGATCTCCCAGCTCTTCTTTGCTAAGCGCCCCCCTTACCACGATCACTGCGAGACCACCGGCTGTCGCACGTGGCCCAGGGTCCGCACGGACACCGTCCCCAACGACTTGACCGGGCTTTCGGCTAAAGCTTGGTGCGTCCCCCACTCGATCCAGGAGTCCAGTGTCTCCGCTCTGCTCGATAATTTCCTGGTCAGAGCCTTTCTGGTGGCCTTCCTCATCATTCTCATGGTCCTCTTCTTCAACTTCCTGAAGAAACGAAAGGTCTCGTGCATGTTAAGGGTCAGTCGCTCGCGCCCGCATTGAAATATAAAATTGTAATAATAATAATCCGAATCCTTGCATTTGATACAGGGCCTTATCATGTCATCGACCCGGCTCACGGTCAAAGAGGAAAGTCTTGAGAAGGACCTTGAAGGAGGCGAGGGAGGCAGATTTCAAAGTGTGGGAGTCAGCCGTTGTGTGCAGGACAGCTCCTGTCAGCTACTTTTGTGCCTGAGGTTAAGACAGACCGAGCTGCTGGAGGGGGATATTTGAGATCTCTCTTCTGCCCAGCCGTGCGCAATTGGCTGCCGCCTTTCGCCCGCAAAATATACAGTCAATTCACGTTACAGTATATACAGTGAAGCGCTTTGAGATGTCTCGAAGACGCAAATGCACGGATTATTTTATTATTATTATCTGTTCGCACTTGTAATGTAAACGCATTCCGATCTCTCTCGGAGCGTGGGGTAATGATAAGTTTCCCAGACGATGTCGCTCTTCAAACGCGAGCTCTCTGGATACATGTTAAGAACTTACTTATTGCACACGGTTATTTATGTGTAAACCATTTAATGCCTACAAATACACATAATAATAATAATAATAATAATAATAGTCACTATACGACACTTTACAGCACTTTGTGACCTCTTCCCAACCTGAAGGTCCTGTATCAAATGCAAGGATTATCGTTACTGTATTGTTGTTGATACTGTCGTTTCCAAAAAGTCCGGTGGAAGCATAAAGCGCTGTTGGTAATCCAAATTGGTATCTTTACAGAAAATGTGGGACAAGTACGCGGGGTACCTAAAGATCGGACCCTCCATGGACAAGAACTATCTGAAGAAGGAGAAGAAGAGGAGAGAGATCAAGCGTTTCCGCAGAGGGTTGGCCATCCAGGAGAAGATCATGAGGAAGCTGCAACAGATGGAGATGAAAATCCGGGATATGGAAGACATGATTATGAAGTTTGCCAAGAAAATGACTCGCCGAGTGACGGAGTCCGAGTGCACGAGCCGGTCGTCCAGTTGTATCTGTTCGAGATGCCACACGCCAAGCCCCTTCAGCACCGAGATGGACTCCCACCCCACCACTGAGAGAGAGAGAGAGGACAGGATATGCTGACGCACGACGCACGCACGAACACACATCCACCAAAAAAAAAACCTTTCTGATAGAGAAAATTATAAAGTATAATTTACCTATTGTATGACAATCGCCACAGTAAAATGTTTCATGTCCAGAAATGGCACGTTTTATTATTTCAGCTTTCTTCTCATTTGCTATTGATTAGAGGAGTGGTTGGACTCAGTTAATAATAATAATAGTAATAATAATCCATGCATTTGATATAGCGCCTTATCACGTCTTTGAGATGTCTCAAAGCGCTTCACAGAATATACTGTAAAGTGAATTGACTGTATATTTTGTGGGCAAATAGAGCTCTCACTTCTGGGTCAGAGGGTTTGAGGGTTTACGTCTCGTACTGGGACTTTGAACTCACAGTTTTTTGTCTGACATAGTAGTAGCGGGGTTAGCACTGGATTGAAAAAAGTGCTATCCTTTGGATAATAAGACATTAAAACGTCAATTAAAACGTTGACACTTGATAGCTCCAACAAGGGGATACTGTTACTCGCACATTGATGAAGCGGGATGGAATTACAGTAGATAGCTCCAGCCCCAGCAAACCGACACAAATAAAATAATAATCCTTGCATTTCATATAGTGCCTTTCACATGGTGGGGTGGACGTCTCAAAGCAATTTGCAGGCATTAATGTAATGTGTAGTCCTGTAGCTCAGTGGTTAGAGCACTCGCTTTGCAAGCGAGAGACCTGAGTTCAATTCCAGGCAGAGGGCGAAACCTTGGGCAAGTTTCCTTACTCCACACAGAGCCTAATAATAAACCCTCCAAAACCAAAAACAATAATAAATTGGTCATTTTCAATCCGCGACTGTTTGTGGGACATTGCTGTGCGCAATTGGCCGCCGCGTTCGCCCACAAATATACAGTCAGTTCACTTTACAGTGTGTTCTGTGAAGCGCTTTGGGACGTCCTCCCGACGTGAACAGCGCTATATCAAATGCAAGGATTATATTAGTGACTGTGCAGACGACTATGTTGCGGGGCCAATCGTACTTTACAGAGACCACCGAAGCGCTTTGATGCCACAAAGGCGCTGCATCAAATGCGAGCGCGACGGTTGACGGTAATCCTTGCAATTGTTTGGGATAGCATTGAATTTGTTATTTACAACAACAACAATAATAATAATAATAATCCCGGCAATTTGTGACAGCGCCTTATGGCGTCTTCTGAGCCGTCCCAAAAGCGTCGTAAAAGTATTGAACCGAGCGTACGACGCGTCTCCTTATTATTTTCAACAATAATATTAATAATAATAATAATAATATAATATTTTCAATAATATGAATGGGGGGTCAGAGAGTGGACCACCTCCAGTAGGAGGTGGTGGTGGTGGGGGGAAGAGAGAGAGAGTGACACCAGCCCCAGTGGAATGGGGGGGGGGGAACAAATCGCTGGGGCGGAACCAAAAAAAGGGGGAACTTGCGGTCCACCCGGAGCGACATCAGCGGAGCGCAGTCCGGGGCGGAGGCGGGAGGGACACCGACGGAATCGCATCGAAAGAGAATCAGAGCGTCGCAGAGAGAGAGGGACCGTCACCGCCACCGTCACCGTCACCACCACCACGACATCATCATCAACATCATCAACATGGAGCCCTGGGCGGAGCTCGGGGCCGAGCGGCAGATCTTTTACTCGGTGTTACTTTTCTCCTGGGCCGTGTACATGTGGGAAGCGTACCTCGCCCGACGGCAGGTGAGAGGCGACCGCCCCCACACACACACACCACCTCCACCATCACTCCCCTCACTCACTCACTCACTCCCCCCACCACCACTCCCCTCACTCACTCACTCACTCACTCCTCCCACCACCACTCCCCTCACTCACTCCCCCCACCACCACTCCCCTCACTCACTCCCCCCACCACCACCACCACTCCCCTCACTCACTCCCCCCACCACCACCACTCCCCTCCTCCTCCACCCTCACACTCCCCTCCCCCCCACCACCACTCCCCTCACTCACTCCCACCACCACTCCCCCCTCCTCCACCCTCTCACTCCCCACCTCCTCACTCCCCTCACTCACTCCCACCACCCCCTAATCTCTCCCCTCCTCCACCCCCTCACTCCCCCCTCCTCCACCCCCTCACTCCCCTCCTCACACCCCCCTCACCTCCTCACTCCCCTCACACCCCCTCACTCCCCCCCCACCTCCTCACTCCCCTCCCCTCCACCCTCTCACTTCCCCTCCCCACCCCCTCAGTCCCCCCCACCCCCTCAGTCCCCTCCTCCCCCCACCCCCTCACTCCCCTTCCCCTTCCCTCGCCCCTAGAGATACTCCCCACCCCCTCACTCCCTTCCCCCCACCCCCAGAGATACCCCGCCACCCCCAGAGATACCCCCCCACCCCTCACCCTGCTCCCCCATCTTCCAGAGATACCCACGCCCCCACCCCTAGAGATATCCTCACCCCCCCTCCCACACCCCTAGAGATACCCTCATCCCCTCACTCACCCCCTAGAGATAGCCTCATCCCCCCTAACAGATACCCACCCCCTTAGAGATACCCTCATCCCCCACCCCTAGAGATATCGTGCACTCTCAGCCCAAAAGATTCTGCCCGTATATTTCCCCCACCCCTCCCAAAACACACACATATACCCCACCTACCTCCATACCAGGGACCCCCCACTCTGAGACACCTCTGCCCCAGATACTCTGATGCCACACATGTTTTTTTTCCAAAAAAAAAATCAATTCGCTAAATCTTCTGAAATTTGGCACATTTCAGGGGTCAAACCTGAATATGGTATATTTTGATATCGTACCTTATCGTTTCATTGAGACTTTGAACCTTATGTCTGTTCCTTTGCGTTGTGCCTCAGCACAGTGCCATGCTGGTGTCTGAATTGGAAGTCATCCGATGTAGAACTCTTGACGCTAAAATAAAAAGTACATTTTTTTTTGGTGTAAAACCCAATTTGTATCAATAGTAATCTGCTTAGAGTATGATGGAAACCTGTATTGGTTACCGCGAACGGACTGGTTTATTCATTGAATGAATCTGGGGTTCAGAGATTCTCAAAATATCCAGTCAGTTCACTTTCCAGGATATCCTGTGAATCGCTTTTGAGACGTCTCGAAGGCGTGTTAAGGCCCTGTATAAAATGCAAGGATTATTATTTTTCTCGGTGCAAACTATATCTGCCTGACCCGCTGGGAGTCCCTCGGTAAGTGGTGTCTCCGCAGCTGTTGTGATATCAAACCGTTTCACCAGTTTCAGTTTTTATGCAAATAACTGTTTTTTGGGCAGATTAGAGGAAGTATTTATTAGGCAACTGCGATAAGCACGATTGAGACTGGGGCAGTCTTCGAACATTTCTATAATCCTTCTGTGGCTTCAGGGAACATTGGCTCCCTACGTGCAGGACATTTAGATCCAAGTCAATGTACGAAGTACTGGAATAATCGGTGGCTTCCCCCCCCCAAAGACAACTTGCGAGCTTCAGAGTTTTAGGTTTTTTTTTCATTAAATTCTGTTACGAAACGCAACAAAAAATACTTTGCAAGGGCGTAAAGTGGAACTTGTAGGTTTATTAATCAGTGGCAAAAAAAAAAAGTTCACTAATCTTTTGGATTGAAACGAGCAGGGTTTCAGATCAATGCTAATGTCATCGTTTTTTTTCAAAAGAAGTTCTTCACCGAGTCCTCTTCGGGTCTCGCTCTCTGCTGGTCAATTCCTGTGCGTCAGTGGCTCATCCAGTAGTTGTACTAGTATACACGAAGAGACATTGTGTGAGTCAGACTATCCTTGGGCGATATTGCTTCCTCTCTCTTCAGTGTAAGGCACATTGGTAAATCATCAATTTCTTAATGATGCTTTCAGTTGCAGTGTCCTGGGTTAGCACACTGAAGGCGAATGGTAATGAAAGGCTTGGGTTTTGCTTGATGTTTGAAAGCTTTGCTGTTGGAGAGCTTGAGGGGTGGATGAAGAGCAAGGGAGCTGGTATTGAACGGGCAATTGCTGAGGCGGGGCTCATCTTGTTTGGAAAAGGGGGTAGGAGTGATGCATGGGGACGCGGGAGTACCGGAATAATATCAGGTAATGCTTCTGGGAGTTCCACTGAAAAGGTGTTGAGTGTTTTCTCTTCGACCGTGCCTTTGCTCATCCTCCTACCACTATCCACTCCGCCCTCCTATCCTCCTAATCCCAACCACCAGCTCGGGTGTGGATCCCTGACTGTCCAGCGCCTTGGGACGTGCTCCTGACGTAAAAGACGCCAAACAAATGTAATTTGTTGTTGTTTGTGCTGTAAGTGTCCATGTTTGATGTTTGAAAGCTTTCCTTGTATCCCTTTTTCTGGCTCTTTATGAAAATCTTTCTCCCTCTTTAGCGCAAGACTTACAGAAACACTACATTGGTCCCAGAGGAGCTGGGGACGATCATGGACTCTGAAACCTTTGAGAAATCTCGCCTCTACCAACTGGACAAAAGTACCTTTGGATTCTGGTCTGGCCTTTATTCTGAGACTGAAGGAACGGTGAGTAACATCGGTGTACTTTAACCTGCGATTGTATTGTGTACTGCGGCTACTCTTGTGAGTAGTGGGTACCCATTCTTAAATTGCAGGAGGTAAGATGAAAGATTGTTTTGTATAGCACTTTTCACGTAGGGACGTCCTGTCGACATGAAAGGCGCTATAGAAATATAATTTTGTAGTTTGTCACGTGAAGTTTTGGGTGGGGTGGGGACGGGGTTAAAATGGCCCAATCTGCCATTGAATTTCATTTTCTCTGCCTTTCCTCGATGCTCCTCAATCCCTTGACTTCCCAAGTATCTAGCCATCTCCTTTTTAAACATCCCATTTAGTTCCGCCAGTGTGGCATTCTATCTCAAGAAATATTTCTGATTTATTGCATCTGCATGTGGCCGGTGCCATTGCCTATTTTGATTACAATCATTCTCCATTGTTTCAGCTGATTCTGCTGTTGGGAGGAATCCCTTTGCTATGGCGAGTGTCTGGACACATGACTGGGCGCTTTGGGTTTGGCCCTGCATATGAGGTAATTAGCGTACAGTTTTGTTATTATTATTATTATGAATTACTTATAGTTGACGCACAACAAACAGCTTTATTTGTGCGGCATGAATTGTAGACTGCAGATTGTTCTGGTCAAATATCAACTGCAAATGTCCAAAATCATGCAGATGACTTTGTGCTAAAGTCCTTTTTCCTTTTGAGGATCATTGCAGTGGCACTGTTTTACAATGAATTTAACTTTTCAAATGTTTCCTTTTCTTTTATACTTGACAGATAACCCAATCCTTGGCGTTCCTATTCCTTGCTACCTTGTTCAGTGCAGTGACTGGTCTACCCTGGAGTCTCTACAATACGTTTGTCATTGAGGAGAGGCATGGCTTCAACCAGCAGGTCTGTAAAGGCAGCAGATTTCTAAATGGCTACACATAACGGTTTGCAAGTTGCGCCACTCATTCAAATATAAATTGGATGTCGGGAGAAAACCAAATTATGATCTATATTTTTAATGGTAGTTTATTCATTCTTAAGAACATAAGTAATGCAAGACCAAAAAAAGACAAAGCTCCACTTGGTTGCATGCACATATGTCCTGAACTACCTATGTACTATATCCCATAATATTATTTCCTAAAAAAAAACTATCTAATCTGTGTTTGAAGGAATCGACACTTCTGCCTTCAGATACAAGGAATCTCGTACTTTGTGTAAACAGAATATGTGTATCTTTTAATCTGGCAAAGTCTTCCAATGTTATTTTCTGGGCTGATCGCATCGCATTTTCGTTTGGTTTCCGCAGACGTTGGGATTCTTTTTTAAAGATGCCCTGAAGAAGTTTGCAGTGACTCAGTGTATTTTACTCCCTGTGACTTCGCTGCTTCTGTACATCATCAAAATCGGTGGAGATTATTTCTTTATCTACGCTTGGCTTTTCACATTGATCGTCTCCCTGGTGAGTCTAAAGTTCTGCTTTTTCATGTTTTATCATGTGCCCTTATTCAATTTTTCTCCCCTCATTTCTAACTCTTTCCTCCTCTTTCGCGCTGTATGTTTCAGGTACTGGTGACCATTTATGCTGACTACATCGCACCATTGTTTGATAAATTCACTCCACTTCCTGAAGGGGAACTGAAGGAGAGCATCGAGAAAATGGCCAAGAGTATCAGCTTTCCTCTCACCAAGGTTTACATAGTAGAGGGTAAGGCAGTGAAGCTCCATTGGTTTCTGTGACCTGCTCTCAGGCTTATTAATAGGCAACCTGTGACGGCGGAACATCTTTGAATGCAGCAAGTTGCCTATTGATGTGCAGTCCACTGTATTGCTGGTTGATATAAGTACATTTAATACCTTTGGCTTTGCTACATTCTACATGACATTGCTACCCAGGTTTAGCTGTTTAAAACTGTCTCATCTCCTTGCGTAATATGAATTACGCAAGGAGATGCGACATGTGACAATGCAAGACCTTTATAAAGGCAGCGCTCCTGAGTGGCAATAACTGGTCAGAGAGCTGTATAGCATTCCCTATCTAACAATAGCAATTATTCATCTCCAGGACACCAGTACTTCCCCTGAGAATTGACAAACATACAGTCAATTCACTTTACAATCTATTCTGTGAAGCGCTTTGAGACGTCGAGAAGATGTGAAAAGCACTATATCAAATGCAAGGATTATTATTAGTAGGTTTATGTTTTTTTAATATATTAAAGATCACTTGGTAACTCGATGATCATCTTTCATGGATTGTCTTTTGCAATTTTTATACCTGATTAAGCCTCGCGTCAGCTTGGCTCAGTTGGTAAGCGTTCTTGTCTCTGGGTTATGATTTTCAAGCCCCACGTTGGCACTTTGAACTCCTAGCTTAGTCTGATTTGGAAGCACTGCTGTCCTTCGTTTGAGACATTTACACCAATGTCCTCTCTGCCTGTTCAGGTGGATGTGAAAGATGCCATAACTCTATTCGGAAAGGAAAATGGAGTGTCTTAACAGTGTCCTGGCCGACAGCCCTCCAAGTAAATTGGCCATTCACTTCGTGCCTGTCTGTGGGACATTGGTGGGTGCAAAATGGCTGCTGTGTTTACTGAAAAACTCCAGTTGTCGGGGATTTTCCGTGCAATGCTTTAAAATGTTATGGCATGTTCTGGAGGCTGTATCCGAGGAAAGGATTAACATTTGAATCCTGCTGTAAGTATTCATTCTCTTTAACTAGGATCGAAAAGATCGTCGCACAGCAACGCCTACTTCTACGGATTCTTTAAGAACAAGCGGATCGTGCTGTTTGACACTCTGCTGGAGGACCACTCTCCGCTAAACAAAGGGGCTGTCGACGAGAACAGCTCTGATGCCCCCACAGCTGCAGGGGACGGCGGTGAAGCCGAGGCATCGGAGGCCAAGCTCAAACCCAAAGTAAAGTTGCCCGTTGAGTTTCTGATGCCGGTGCAGGGCTGGGACGCTGAGACCGAACGCTACCGTAATGTGCCGTGCAGCAGCTCCACCCGATGCGACAACGCGATGAGGCGCTTTTATCAAATGCAAGGAATATTATGATTTCAGAGCAAAATCTGTGTTCCTTTTCAGAACAAGCGACAAGGTTGCAACAACCAAGAGGTTCTGGCTGTGCTCGGGCACGAGCTTGGACACTGGAAACTGGGTCACACAGTCAAGAACATTGTCATCAGTCAGGTAATCCGTGGCTTACAAAATGTCCCCATTAATTACTTTGAAGGAGACTTTAAAGGATGTAAAACATCCATCTTCAAGGCCACAAGTTTTTGATTTAAAATAAATACATGCATGCATACATTCCGAGCGTGGGATGAAGAAAGTAGCGCAGCCTGATGAATCCTACACGAAAGATGGTTGTAAAAGTGTAAGTTGTTTGTAGGATCAAATGGGCAGAAGTGACTTTGATCCTTTGCTGATCTGGAACTCTCATCAAATACATGTCCCTCCTTCCAAAAATGTTACCAGCCGCTAACAACAACTTACACCCGTATAGCGTCTTTCATGCCGGGAGGACGTCGCCAGGCTCTTGAAAGTCAGGAATTTGGAGCCGAGCTGGGGGTTGTGATCAGGAGGGTTGGAGGGTAGGGAGAGTGGGGGTAGGAGGGTGACCGAAGGGCCTGAGACGGAGTCCCAAAGGCAAACAGCATCGGCGATGATTGGAATTGCGAGCGTGTGCAACCAACCATGCCTTTCATTACAGGTGAATTCGTTCTTTTGCTTCTTCCTGTTCGCTGTCCTCATGGACAGAAAGGAACTCTTCTCCGCCTTCGGCTTCTACGACAGCCAGCCCACTCTCATCGGCTTGATGATCATCTTTCAGTTCATATTCTCGCCCTACAACGAGGTGAGGTCACAGCGTTCGGCGCCGTTTTGCTCTCTTACAGCTTTGTGCTGAAAAGAGTCGCTAAATCAGGTTGCGTTACGATCTGACATGGGGATGGATTTTCTATTGAATTGCAGGTGCTGTCGTTTTGCCTGACTGTCCTGAGCAGAAGGTTCGAGTTCCAAGCTGACGCATTCGCGAAGAACCTGGGAAAAGCGACGGATCTGTACTCGTCCCTGATCAAACTGAACAAGGATAACTTAGGCTTCCCAGTCGCTGACTGGCTGTATTCCATGTGGCATTACTCACACCCTCCTCTCCTGGAGAGACTCCGTGCCTTAAAGGACAAGAAAGAGGACTGATAATATATTTAAAGTAAAACGAGAGCAGGAAACGGTTTCTCTGGCCTCGGGAGGAAATCTGACTTTTTTTTTTGATTAATTTTAATTTCTCATTCCATTGAGGATGCAAACTCGCATCAAGAGAGTGATATTGATGGGCATTGCGTGATGATCTGAATGCATTTAGCTTGTGTTACCAGGGAGTGGACCAACTTGTGTTTGAGCAGTGGAGGACTGTTATCATACTTGAAGTTGCTGTGTTGTTGTGTTAAGAATGCAATAGCACTTGAAGTCGCCCAGACCTATTTACAAACCCACCTGCCAGGCTCGGTAATACAGACTGACAGTAACATATGCCGTCAGCCACAGAGAAGGAGTGCTTCCCTACATCCAGCTCGCCTCAGTGTGGCAATGACACCTGAAAAGATTCCTCGGAAACTGCTTTGTGCCTGTAGTATGTTGTGTTAGAATTAGCGGTAAATCACGAGTCAATTTTAATTTCATAGCTTGTCTTTTTTGCTATGCTATCACTTGCAACTGTGCTGCGTTCCTTGACTTTGTTCCCACCCCAGTCTTTCTCTCTCTCTCTCTCTCTCTGACACAGACGTAACTAAGTCCCTTTAAGTTTTTTGAAGCTGTCCCATCAACAGATAAGTCGAAGTGAGCAACGAAACATATCCGTAACTCCAAGTTTTACACTAGTTACTACAATCCTAAGTTTTTTTTTGTTTGAAATCTGGCACCTGGAAATTTTTAGCAAATTACCTTAAGCTTCGAAAATGGTTCTGCTGCCCTCATTTTATGCAAATAGATAGCGTGAGTGCATTTTGTCATCCACTTCAATTCTGCTTTGAGCCTGGATTCTTCTTTCTCGGAGAGAAAAACTCTCAACCTTTTGTTTGTTTAAATGCCGCTTGCAAATCAAAAACACAAAGTCAATTCACTTTATATTTTTTACCAAAAAAGACGAGAAGGAAAGCCAGGTTATACCTTAAATCAGCATTGTGATAAACACACCTTTATTTAGTGCCTGTGATGTAACGTGTATTACTTTTTTTTGAGTTTGTCTTTGTAAAAAAAAGAAGAAAAAAATTTCAGATGAATTTTGTGGATTTAAATGAACGTGCACATTCTGATAAGCCGAGGACGTATCCCAGTTCATCTTCCTCTGTTTATTTAAAAAAAACCTACCAAACTGCAAAAATATTACAAGTGTGAAATAAATGGCCTGAATGGGTGGAGTTTGAGGAACACAAAAGCCTTTGCTGTTTTCTGTGTATGAATTTGTACCTTTAATCCTGACAATTGGTGTCCCAGTCTGCGTTCAATATGTGTTGCTAAGAGTACCACAACAACAAATTACATTTGTACAGAGCATTTCACGTTGAGAGGACCCCCAAGTCGCTGAAATACAGTGAAATGGCGGGACTTTGTGGGGGGGGGTTGAAGAGATCTGTCAGGATCTGCTAAACGGCTGAAACAGGTCTGATGGGCTGAATTGCATCCATCCATCCATTCCTGTTTTCCTTTGCTGGATTATTTGGAGTATTGTAGTTTATAAAGGTGAATTGATGAAAGCGCACAGTTGACACTAACCCTAACACTAATCTTTGCATTTCATATAGCGCCTTACTACGTCTTCTCGGCGTCTCAAAGCGCTTCACAGAATATATTGTAATAAATGGCTGTATTTTTCTCCACCTCCCATCCACTCCACCAATACTGCCCCCCCCCTAACGTGTGTCATCCTTCAGAGCTGGACGATGGGTCGGTTTTGACATTGCTAGTGCTTATGGAGCGTTTTTATTGCTGTGGTTTTATAACCCGTCTTTCTGAAGCTGCTGTGCACGTTGTAGCCATTAAATTGTAAGGCAAATAGGACGGTGCCTACATCTGCTTAACAGAGCAGGTTACCCTGAGCTTAGTGCTTCCACGTAATGTTTTACCCATTGCTCTGACCCCTCAGCATATGCAAACAGTAAACCCCTTATTTTATGAACCATGCAAAGTCGACTGGGATGGTCAAGTTCCTTCAAATCCAGAGAAGCAGACTGGGGTGTGGGTCAGACTAGTATTATAGCACACACTATGTACAGTAACCTGTCATGTGAGGATTATTTGGAGAATTGCAATTTACAAAGGGGATTGGTGTGACCTCTTTAATAAGAAGAATCCTTGCATTAGATATAGCGCCGTAATTAAATTGTTGAGACATCTCAAAGTGCTTCACAGAATATATTGTGGATTGACTGTATTTTGTGAGCAAAATGTGGCAGCCAGTCGCACCCAAGCAGTCTTCGATTGAGTGACCACTTTTTTTTTTTGGGTGTGGGTGGGATTATTACATTACAGCTATCCACAAATCAACTAACAACCGGGTTCCTACTTACTGCTGGGTGAACAGGCATTCGGAGTAAGGAAACTTGCCTAAGTTTTCGCCCTGTCCGGGAATCAAACCCGGGTCCTCTCACTACACTACAGGACTCCACAATCTCGTAGTATCCGTTAGGGTTTAAGGTACCAGGACACACAGCAATTCAGTATATTGAAATTAAAGTTATTTATTTTAGATATTTAGCGTTACATATCCTCCAGCAGTGCATCTGTCTGTTCAGCGCAGTTAATTTCGGAGCCGAAGGTATTGGCGATGCAATAAGAGCAGCTGCACATTTTGTGTTTGCGAGACGTCTTTAGTTTTCTTTTCTTCTTCAGGGAGTTCAGAATGGCTTTCAGCAACCCGATCTTTAGCTCCACGAGCTGCATCTTTTTCAGCAAAACCTTCTGGATGTTAATGCCGTAATGTAGCCGCCTTGTTTCATCAGCTGTTAGAGGGGAAAGATTGCAATGTTTTTCCTGAATTGAAAATGGCAAAAGGTCATTAATAATTTGGTTCTTGATTCTACAGCAATTTTTTTTTTACACACAGTAAACTCCCGATAACTCATCCCTGTCTCTGCCACTTAAGTCATCACACTGTCAATATCCCAGCTGCATTTATCGATGTATTTATACATGCACCTACATATTTATACTTCATATAAATTCTCCGCCTGACGTGGAAGGCGATTTACAAATGTAATTTGTTTTGCTGTACATATGCCTAACCCGCCTCTGCTGATAACTTGTCACTAAGTCCTTTTCCCTTGGAGGGGACAAGTTATATAATAATATAATAACAATCCTTACATTTAATATAGCGTCTTATTGTGCTGTTGAGACTTCTTAAAGCGCTTCACAGGATATACGTTAAAAGTGGATTGACCGTCTATTACTGTGGGCTAAACACGGCAGCCAATTGCGCACAGTAACGTCCCAGAAACGACCGTGGAGTGAGGGAGGAGCGATCGATTTCATTTTGTATCCCAATCGAAATAAGTAACGTTTTAAAAACACGCGTTTGCAAAGGGTGGGGGGGGGTGAGGTGGCGGGGGGGGTGGTGGGAGGGGGGGGCAAAGATAGGAATTTTTTTTTTAGTTCTAAAGAGTCAGCAAGAGAGCCCCTGAAAGGAAATTGAGTGTTTAACAACATTTTCTAAAGAGAGAGAGAGACACTGACCTTGGCCGTGGGGGGTTCCACCCGCTTGGTGATGAAGTTAATGATGTTGACGATGAGGACAGACAAGCAGAGGAACAGAATGAGGTCGAGTATAATCTGCCCGATGGCCATGAGAGGCGACGGGGGCGAGGATGTGTTCATCCTCACACTGGAGTCGTCCTGTAACATTTCTATATCAAACATGGCCTAGGCTCGAGAGCTTTCACAAAGAACTCTTAAGGGGAGAAGAGAATATACATTGTTTTTTGAAAGAATTCTGTATAAAATCTCCTGTATCACTTCTGTGGATCCTTTCAATTCTATCTGACTGCAGTTCTGCAAATTTATTTTTTAATGGTGTTTCATGGCTGTGTAATGCTCGATCATCTTTGTTGTGTTATTTGCAATACACCTGACTTCTTTGAAGCCCCTCACCCCACCGCCACCCTCATCCGCTCTTGAAAGCTTCTCAACAAAGTGCTGAGTCGTCAGCGGTGAAATTCAGACGTGAATTAAGAAACCCTTGGGTTAGTTTGGAAGTTGGGGATGTTCGTGTGATGAATGTGAACATGGAATGAGTGCAGAGTGCACACACGATAACTTGCCTAACGAGCCTGTGCAGTACATTTGAGTCTCTCCCTCCTAACAGAAAATTTCAGCCTCTTTCATCCCTCCAAAGGATGAATCCCTCCTGACGCCATCACTGCGTTGTTTCAGAAATAGCCTCAGACTAAGTAATAGGCTTATTCCACACGAGTTTGAATTAACCTCCAACCTCGTTGCTCCCTCCCAGCTCTCTGCAGCTCTGTACCTAACGGGTGTGTTACAGTTAGGGTCCTGATCCCTGACTATCCAGCGCCTTGGGACGTCCTCCCGTCGCGAAGGGCGCTGCATGCATGTCATTTTGTATCGCATTGCGTTGTACAAGGACAGAAAACGTTCAGAGAAACCTCCCTCCCTGCACCCGTGATTAAGTTTATTCGTCAACTTAGTATTTTTGGGGTTAATCGATGGGTTGAAGCCAAGGCTCGGGGCCGGGTTGGAGCGTAACGTGAACTCGTTCTTCTGCAGACTGCTGATGTCACAATGAACAGACGGACAGACGGACACGGACGGACGGCTTTCCCGAGCAGGACAACCATTCCCTCAACCGAGGAGGGAGAGGGAACGTGCGCGGATGGCTTCCAGAGGTGGTGGTGGTGGTGGTAGTGGGGGGGGGGGGGTAAAACTCCCGTTCTTACCGATAGATTGACAAAAGAAATCCTGTACGACGTCTCCAGCGATCCCCGCGGCTGGAGACCGATTTCGTGCGCCAGATTTTTTGCTGTGATTGTTGAGAAGGAGCAGCTGAGAGATCGCTCGGTTTGTGGCGTCACAATGGGCGGTGTGTGGTCACGGCAACTTTCTCATGACCCTCACCCACAACCCCCCCCCCCACCCCTCTTATTCAGCTACTCAGGAAGAAGGCCCACCTATTTGACCCCCCTGTTTTTAGCTGGACATTGGGGCCTCTTTGATCGTTTTTCAACCCACCATTGAATCGGTCTTGGGTTTGAATCGGTCTCAATCCACGACTGTTTGCGGGACGCTGCTGGGCGCAATTGGCTGCAGCGTTTCACCCACAAAATCCGCAGTCAATTCACTTTACAGTATCTTCGGGGCAGTGCGTTGAGATGTCTCGACGATGTGACAAGACGCTATGTCAAATGCAAGGGTTATCATTATTAGCAATACAAAAATATACGCGGGAGACATTTTCTTACTATTATGTTACAAAGCAACATCTTGCACACGTGTGTGTGTGTGTGTGAGGTGGGGCAGTGGCTTGTCTTTCACCAACAGGATTTAGTAATAATTGGGGTTGTTAATCGGACGCTCTACTTTCCAGTTCCAGTGAGCGAAAAGCAGCAGCCAATTGCGCACAGCAGTGTCCCACAAACAGTGGTGGATTGAGTGACCAAATTATTGTTTTTTTTTAGTTCAAAGTCCTGCTTTTCTCAAGCTTGGAAAAACTTGATACAAGCAGAAGCTGAAATAGCGGCTCAGTCAGTGTCAGGTGCGCAAGCTGAAATATAGGCTTCGCAATTGCAAACTGGTAATTGTCCGCAATGGAGAAATGATCTTGCAATAAAACTGTCAGATCACTGGAGCCTGTTCCTCTCTCACAGTAAGTTACCTCCTGTCTAAATGGCAGTGGAAGGGTGCAAGTTCTGTCTGCAGTCACAGTGCTGTCGCACATTTGATCTGTTCCCACCTGCCTGCCAAAAAGGAGTTACGAGTAGGCAATTTGATACCAGGCTGCTGCCATAGCTGATTAAATTTTCATAGAAACTCTCTCCTCTTGTTCAGATGAACATAGCTCTTCCTGTATTTTAGCAAAATGGGAAGGGGTTTGAGTGACTTGAAGGGAAATACTGAGTGATGACTGTACAAATGGGTTACCCGGGGTGACAAGAGGGAATTGGTGTAGTTAATCGGCAAAGGAATTGAGGGATTATGAGTACGAGAGAGAGAGAGAGAAAGCGTGTGTATTTTGTATTTATTTACTGTTTTACTCTGGGACCCTCCAGATAGACCGTTCCTCCCGCACATTCATTCCCGTTCGATCAGTGTCATTGGAGTCCCGATCAACATCGAATAAAAACGAAGGGAGAGATTAGGAAAATATTTGTGTTGAGTTGATTGTTCTCAGCTGAAGGTAGGAGCTCGGTGCTATGATAATTGACCCTATATTATCCCTGGGCCGAGCCAGCAGTTGAGTTCCCAGCTCCCGAGGCCTGAAATTCCACCTAGTCTTAGCCTGTGACACCATTCTGCCCCCAAATTTAAGATGATCCCAGATTGCGGAAATTCCGAAATTCACTTTTCCATTAGCTCTTGTCTAAATGTGTCCTAGATCCCAATTAAGATTGGACCAGGCTCCCTCCACCCCCTCACACCCCCACCCCCTCACACCCCCACCCCCTCACACCCCACCCCCTCACACCCCCAACCCCCCCTCACACCCCCACCCCCTCACACCCCCACCCAAAGCGTGCAGCTCAGGCTCCACGCATAGCCAACGGCTTTGCCAATTCAAGACGTTTTGTTACAATCCGCAAAATCTTATTCAAGGGTGAAATAAACATTGAAGTGATGGGTGCAGAAAGCCTGGACCGTAAAGAAACCCTGTTTGAAAAAGTAACGGAAACTTTTAGGAGTTTAAAAAAAGTAAGATAGTAATAGTAATAATAATCCTTGCATTTAATATAGAGCCTTATCGCATCATTGAGATGCCTCAAAGCGCTTCACAAAATAGACTGTAAAGTGAATTGACTGCATTTTGTGGGCAAAACGCAATAATAATAATTGATCAATAAGATCAATGATAGTGATCTGAATTATTCTCCCGCCTCCACCACCGAGTACTAGTGATTGTGCTCAGTCTTACTCCTGGAACATTATTACCTCTTCTGGCTCCAGCCTCTGTGTACCCAGAGGGTCCTTCACAAGCCCTAATTTGTTAATGCACCCGACTACATTTGCTGAGCAAAACAATCGCTGTAAACATTTTCAAGTAACTAACTAACATTTGCAAGAAGACACAGTCATTTGGGATGTGTTTCGAAGCACCTTTTTCATAATGTAATTAAATCAATACAGAGTTCACAACTGGGAAATATGCGACGGGTAAATTAAAGAGACCTGACACTCTTCTCATTCCCAAAAAGATGAAGTAAAATTTAAACGCTTCATATAAGGAGTTAATTTCTAATAACCATTCCATGATAATTCGCTATTTCTGTCCAACAGGTAGAACTAATCGCAGAACGATTTGGGTGCCGTTGTGCAGCTCGCTATTCAGCAGAGCCGTGGTGCTGTTTTTGGTATTTGATATAGACGATAAGCAGCACAATGCCAGTCACAACACAGAGGGACCCACACACCAGGTAAGCAATGCCCAAGAATGAGTTCTTGCCGCCCATCCAGGATATCGTGCTGAACGTTATGTGCTTCCGTCCGTCGAAGCTCAGCACCGGATAATCTGGATACAATGGGTCAAGGCCAAAGTTTTTTGCTGTTAGGATGTCTTTACAGACCTGATGGATCCATCTGACATTTCAAGCCTTCCGTACGGTACAAGGCACTCGCTCACCTCGTGGTGAAACGTCACCGTGAGAATCCCACAGTGCTGTCAGGGTTGAGCTAAGAAGGGTCACAATGGATCCCTGCTCCTGCCCCACACCTGGAGGAGACTCAGTTTCCCTGCAGACGCCTACACAGCGGGGTGTGAATCCAATTGGGCTGCGGTCCCACTGTGACTCTTTGAAAGTGGCCGGGGACGGCCCACTGTGTAGTGGCAAAACCCTGCTCTTTAATAACATGGTGTAAAATGCAACGTTCCTAGCTGAACTCAATATAGTAACTGGAAATGCATAGTATTGTAGTATTGTGTCCCGCCGTCTCTCTCTCTCTCTGTATCTCGTGAGCTGTTTCCGGTGCAGGGTTCCCGTGACACACTGGGACAGCATGAGGGACCTCTCCCTGATTATAGGACATAATCTATCTTCTCCCCTTCCCTCCGCACGCACACCCCCCCCCCCCCTACATTTCCTTATGGAGGAATGCTGTTTGGAAACCACTCCATTTGAGACTTCCAAACAAACACAGTCATGGGACGCAGAGTAACCTGAGCTACTTTAGCAAATGAGCTCGGTTCGATCATAATTGAGATGGAGGAAACATTTCAATATGATTCGGTCTGTTATCTTAGCTCTCCCTCCCTCTCCCTCTCTCAACCCCCTCTATGTTTACACTGTCTCCAAGGATACTGTACGCTATCTCCAGGTCGTATTTCCCAACGGTCAGTCCCTCATCGATTCGCCGGTAGAGTTTGCGAAACGTGGGCAAAGCCGCGATCCGCATCCACACAATGAAGTCTTCGTTTTGGAAGCCGTTGTTTTGGGGATTCGTGTCTAGTTCGTAGGCAGGTCGAAGCCAGTTCAAAGGTTTGACGGTTCCTAGAATTGAATCGAGATAATTGATCGAATTGGCCTTGGAACGAGCTGACCGCAGAAATAATAATAATCATATCCTTGCATTTGATACAGCACCTTATCACGTCTTTGAGATGTCTCAAAGTGCTTCACAGAATATATTGTAAAGTGAATTGACTGTATACCCTGTGGGCGAAATAAGCCGAGATGAGCACCACACTCAAACAAACATTTTGGGTTTTGCTCGGCTGGGTGTCCAACACATGGAGAAACCCATTGGTGTGTCTCAAGACCTTCCTTTTTGACCGTGCAATCTGTCATCTTCCCTCCTCCACCCCCTCCCACTTGCACTCCACCCCTCTCTGATCCCAACCCACATTGTCCAATGCCTTGGGATGTCCTCCCGACGTGATTGGCGCGATATGAATGCAATTTCTTGTTGTTGTTATTATCCAGATAGATTATTGCGTGCATGCCACATACATATGGAAATTTTGCAAGTGTCTAGAATGGAATGCTCACTCTCCCTCTGGAGGGACACACCCTGCTTACCTATTTCCCGAGAGTATTAGGTGCAGGTTGGCAAGAGCCAAAACATGGGGATCCCAGAGTATGCTTTGGGGGGTGACTGCTGGAGTTGCCATTATGAGGTGGGTCGGTGGGTGGGAGTATTTGTATGGGTGAAGAGTGGGCTTTGTAGGTCACGTTGAGGATCTTGATCCACTTAACATATAAGCAAATGAAACTTACCATCAAATGCTGCCTGCAGAACGCTGTTATTGTTGGTTGTAACCGGGTTCTTGAATTTGACGTTGTAATCCGTCCACCAAGAAATTCCTTTGCTCTTCAGGACAACTTGAGAGCGATTGTTGTCATTCCCGACTTTATATAGGGTGAAGGAGTCTGGAAGAAAACATTCAGGGTAAAGATATGTGATGCAACGATTTATACTTACTGTTTTACTGTATTGTGCCTTACTATATTGAAACGCCTCAAAATGCTTTGCAGTAATTATTTTCAAGTCGAGTGATGCTTCACAGAGTATACTGTAAAGTGAACAAACATGAACTCTCCGTTGATACACAATACTCATTAACTCACCATTGAAAAGGCTGTTTGCAATGGCTCCACATGGAACAATTGGGCGTTTCTGACTGTCTCGGACAAATGGAAAACAGTAATTGGAAGGGTTCTGAGAAAACAGAGAAGCAGAGATGAAGGAAGTCATTTATTTCCACGGTTTGAACTGTTTGGAGCTTTACCGTTCCTTGAAAGACATTACCTGGAAATTATCTAAATCACCGAAAAGTTGGATATCGTCCCGGGAGATTACGTACTTCCGATTATTTTGAAAGAAATTCGATAATCCGTAGTACATGAAGATGGGCCCCTAGAGAGAAACACAGTATTCTCTGTGAGTGAACATTGATGGTGCCTGGTTTGATGATGACGACAAGTTAGAACTTTAAGCAGAGGGTTTCCATTCTCATTACATTCTGACTAACAAAGCATTAGTCCTGCTGCGCAGTTAAGTACTCAGACATATGGTCAGGTCTATTGGCCACTCCACCAGACAGTTCCTCTGTACTACATTGTCGGAAGTGAGGTCCTTCAGATGAGGTCACCTCTTTCACCAATACTCTCACCTCTCACCTCCACTCTCACTGCTCATCATCTGACACTGCCCCTGCACTATGTAGATACAGGTTGTGGTTGTTGAGATGTTATTCTGTACAGGTGGGCGTTGAGGATACCATGGCACTACTCGAAAAAAGGGAGTTTCTCCCAGTGCCCCACCCAACAACCCCCCGATAAAGTTGGTCATTCATTTTGTGTCTGTTTGTAAGATGTGTGTAAATCAGCTGCCGTGTTCGCCTACAGCTATGTCCGGTGAAGCGCTTTGACATGTCCTTCCCACATTAAATGTGCGACATCAACTGCAAAGTTTATTATTTTTTTAAAATCTGGAAGTCAAAGAGCAGTTACTTATTCAGATATGAATGGACTTCAGTTAATTACCTTCATCATCTGGGTCACCGTGAATCTTATTGTGCATTTGCAGTTCTTATTTGCATTCATACTGCAATTGTAGCAAGCATGCTCGCTTGTGTCACCTGTATAATCGATCTAGGAGAAAACAGAAAAGTGCAAACTTTTGGTTACACCTTACAATTCCTGGGTCATCATATCATTTGCACCAGACGCTTAATGCTTAACACTTGAGGAGTTCCATAGCATAGTGGTTAGCACGCTCGCCTCGCAAGCGAGAGGACCTGGGTTCAATTGCCCGACAGTGCAAAACCTTAGACAAGTTTCCTTACTCCACGCACCTCTGTTTGCCCAGCAGTAAGTAAGAACCTGGTTGTTAGTCGATTGCGGATCGCTTCCAGGAGCTAATAATCCCTCCAAAAAATGGGTCACTCAATCAATGACTGTTTGTGGGAAACTGCTGTGCACAAATAGCTGCCGCGTTTCGCCCATAAAATACACAGTCAACTAATTTGCTTTACACTATATTCCGTTAAGCGCTTTGAGACATCTCAATGACACAATAAGGCGCGATATCTTATTTCGCCCACAAATATACAGTCAATTTATTTTACAGTGATAACAGTAATAATCCTTGCATTTGATATAGCGCTTTTCACGTCGTCTCGACGTCTCAAAGAGCTTCACAGAATATGCTGTAAAGTGAATTGACTGTGTATTTGTGGGCAAAACACAGCAGCCAATTGTGCACAGCAGTCCCACAAACAGTCGTGGATTGAAATGACCAATTTATTATTGTTTTGTTTTTTGGAGGGATTATTATTATTAGGCGTGTGGAGTAAGGAAACTTGCCCAAGGTTTCGCCCTGACCTGCCTGGAATTGAGCCCAGGTGTCTCGCATGCAAGGCGAGTGCTCTAACCACTGAGCTACAGGACTGAGTGGCAATGTTTATGCCGTGGCCATAAATCAAGAACATTTATTTTCTCGCCTGACCAAAAAGGTTGGCCTCCACTGAAGATTAAGCAAATAAATGGTAGGAATGGATGTAAAAGGTTTCAGCCTGAGGATTAAATTACACCCCAACTCTGCATCTCTGCATCTGGGAACATTGGGATAGTTTGCTTTTACTTTCGGGTCAATACAGACTCCATAACGACCGATAACCTTGGAGGTGAGGATTTGTTCTCTTTGCCACTGACATTTTTAATGGGGAAACAAACAAACAAACAAACAAAAAAATCCTGCAACTTTAAGACCAATTTGTCACTGCGGGAACGCGTGAAACTGACTAAAAGTGGATGCAATACCCAGAACTTTAGTTAAAAACCCTAAATTTAGTTAAAAACCCTAAATATTAGCTCCTAGCTCCAAAGAGAAGGTGGGGGGAGGGGGAAAAGACAAATAATCTAGCTACAAAGAACCAGGAAGTAAGTGATAGGGGAAGGAGCAGGTAGGTAGGTAGGAAGGTAGATATGCAGGCAGGTAGATAACTAGTCACTCACTCACCTGTTTTTCCATGATGCTGTTGGAAGTGAAGTGTAACCCGAGTCCGATCCCAATAAATATCAACCCAAACACGATGAACAGAGGGAGGACATAACCTGCCGACAGAATGGGCTGCCAAGCCGGGAGCCTTTGCTGGGTGAAAGCTGTGTTGTCTGGTTTGTTGCTCTTTGGTGAAGCCTCCACTCTGTCCACAGTCGAAACCTGACTCACTGACATGGTTTAACTGAGTGAGATCTTCTTACCTGTGACAAGAGAGCGAGAGCGAGAGCGAGAAAGAGAAAGGGAAGCACACAACTTTTTAAGCTTAAACGAGTTTGCTGCAAGTTACTGAGAATTGCCAAGGAAAGAAAGGAAAGAGAGAGAGAGACAAAAAGAAAAAAAAACCTGATCACAAATCGAGATCTGATGTGTTAATTGTAAAGAGAAACGTTTTTTTTTAGTCTGTTGGGACTAGTGTCAAACGCTTTCCTTCTTTCCAGACTTAGACCCAACTCGTCACTGTTAACACACACCTACTTTTGGTTTGGAGGGCAGGATCACGGGATTTGCTGGTGTGTTGCAACATCCATCCACAAGTGGTGTTCTTTGAATTGTCAATCACCATAATTTTTAAAAAAATACACGTTATATATATTATATTATATTATATAGCCTTTACCCATCCAATTCTGTCCCACCACAAACTGATCAACTCCTTTCATTTAATTATCCCCTTTCTATTATTATTATTATTATTATTATTATTACAGGCAGAGAAAAACATTGACAGCATGTCTGGGAAATATTTACTTAATTAAATAAAAATAATAATAGGGTCACTCAATCCACGACTGTCTATGTGCAATTGGCTCCCGCCTTAGCCCACAAAATATACAGTCAATTCACTTCACAGCATATTCTGTGAAGCGCTTTGAGACGTCTCGAAGAAGTGATAAGGCGCTGTATCAAATGCAAGGATTATTATTCTTTTTTAAAAAGTCGCAAGGGAGAAACAAATCTCAATTTTAAAATATAAAATGTTTACATTAACATTTACACCAATGACAATAATACTGGGGTTCCCTCCTTAAAAAAAAACTTGTCTAAAAGTCAATAATCTAAAAACAATTCACTCAATTAGATTTTCTTTAATGACATCAATTTAAACACAGAAATAAAAGGCCTCTTCAGATTGTGTACGCTTGTTTGAGTTGAAAGGATTTGGGGTTAAAATAACCTCGAAATAAATAATTATTTCATGTTTTGGCATGAAAGCCCTATTTGAAGGTAACTTTCGATCTTAAAAGGCAGCTGGTGATGTGAAACCTGGCTGAAAATAGTGATGCAATTGAACACTTCGAAAGAAAATGCATTGACTAGGCTAATTGGTGCATATTAAAATTTGAATGAATGCCGATAATAGAAGTCTAAATATTTGCATTGGTTCAATTCAAGTTCTTCCTCAACTCAGTGCGAAAGAACCCTGGTTTTAGTTTCTCAAAGCGCGTGGCAGGATAATAATAATAATACAGGATACACTGTAGAGTGAATGTACTGTGCACTTTGGGGGGGGCGAAATAATAGTGAGAACCTGGTGACAGGTGCCCCCCATCACCTGTGCAGGTACAACCCTTCCTCCATTGCCTGAGAAAGGGGGAGGGGTTGAGTGGAGGGGGAGGAGCGAGAGGAGAACGTCACGTCACGTCACGTCTTTACGCAATTTGTCGGCTCAACCGAACGTGCTGAGGGCTCCACGTCCATCACGGGGCGAGTGACGGCGGCGTGGACCAATCAGGGGGGGGCGGGGGCGCGGTGGCGGCGCGTGGGTGGTGCGCGCGGCAGGAGGGCGGGACCTGCAGCGTCAAGCAAGCTAGGTTGCCCCGGCTGGTGTTGGCGCCGCTCAGTCGCTTCGTTCGTTCGCTCGTTCGCTCTCGGGGTTTGTGATCATCATTTTTATTTTACAAAAAACTTTCACGACAGCAGAGAGAGAGGGAGAGAAAGAAAGAGAGAGAAAAAGAGGGGGAGAGAGAGAGAGAGAGAGAGAAGCGGCGGCTCCTCCTCCTCCAGCAGCAGTCGGCGGGAGTGGGGGGGGGGTTAAGCTGAGGGGGGTGTGTGTGTGTGTGTGGTGTGGAGGGGGGGGAGTCGATCGTGAGGAAAAAAGGAGCGGTGGTGGTGAGGTGAGGAGGGAGAGAGAAGGGAGGGAGGGAGGAAGAGGAGAGAGAGGGAGAGGGAGGGAGGGGGGGGGAAGGTGAGGGCCGCGAGAGGAAGAGATAAAGAGCCACGAGCGAGCGCCGGGATGTTGGTGGGTAAGAAGAGTGAGGAGAGACAAAGCGAGGGCCTGGAGCCGCAGGCTGATGGCGGCCCCGGCCCCGGCCCGGCTCCCGCCGCCTCCTCCTCCTCCGCCGCCGCCGCCGCCTCCTCCTCCTCCTCCTCGGTCGTGGCCCCAGCCTCAGCGGCCGCCTCAGCCGCCTCCTCCTCCTCCTCCTCAGCCGCCGCCGCCAACCCCTCGGCCGCCGCCGCCGCCAACCCCTCGGCCGTCGTCTCCTCCTCGTCCTCGTCGTCGTCCTCGTCGTCGTCGTCGACCTCCTCCTCCTCCTCCTCCATCGTCACCGCGGCCTCGGCGGCCGAGCGCACCCCGAAGAAGAAAGAGCGAGCGTCGCCCCACAGCAGCAGCAGCAACGAGGGCACCGTGGAGGGAGGCACGGCAGAGACGCCGGACGGCAGGAGGACCAGCAAGCGCAAGCGAGCTAAAGTAAGGCGCCCACCGCTCTCGTTAGGGGCTGGGGGGGGGGGGGGGGTGGGGGATGGGGGGATGGGGGGGGGCACGTTTATAAAGGAGAGAAGGGGGGGAAAGTGGGGTTCACCACATCTGTGCACATATAATTGTATGTGTATACCATATACGTGTATAATTATGTATACTGTTACGTATTTTATATACCTATACAATACGTACTGTGTGTGTTGTGTATAATATATACGGTTATGTATGTTATATGCACATACATGTGTTGTTATGTGTACTGCATATATAATTATATATACTGTTACGTATACTATATACATGTATAATATGTATTGTGTATATCATATATAATTATATATACTGTTATGTATATTATATGCACATGTGGTATATATTGTTATGTATATTGTATATGTAATTATATATGCCGTTATGTGTATTATATACATATATGATATGTATTGTGTATATTTTATATGTAATTATATATACTGTTGTGTGTATTATATACATACATAATGGTATATATATCATTACATATCCTCCATGTTATGTTATACTGTGTTATAGAGTTAAATATTTATTTGTATGCAAGTTGCTGCTGTTGTTTTAATTCAAGGGCATTGGGGTGCATCCAGTATATATTTTTTAAAATATATAATATATATTTATATATATTTTTATAGTCGTATAATTCATGTTTATGTACATATGTATATAAGATTAATGTGCATAATACAGTATATAATTATATTATACATATATGATTGTATCTTGTATATGGTTGATATAATTGGATATAACTAGATATGCATGTGTATACACATGTGTACATAGATTCTTGTGCATATATAATTGTATATAAATAATTTTTTATGCATATCTGTAGGCATATCTGCAAGGCACAGACAGAGCAGGTTTTTAGTCGTGTTGTTTCTTTTATAAGACAAACCCATAGGATATTTATGGCACAGAAGAAAGTATTCATCCATTCGTGTCTGTACCATTTTCCTGCCCTTTCACCCATACCTTGTTAAATTAGGTGTTGAATTTTTAAAATTTTAGATATGCTTTGGGATGCATTGGAATAAATATGCAATATAAACCTATTATAATTTGGTATATATTATAGTAATCTAATAATAAAATGCAAGTATTATTTTATATGTATACTTATTTAATTAATGTATTTGATATAATTGCATATCTTTCATTTACAAAGTAAAAAATATTTTGGTGCAATTGTTTTGGGGAGGATATCCTTGCCGTTCGTTTTGATAATGCTTCTCAATTGATGATGGTTGAGGGCCAGAACCAATTAGGTTGGGTGTCAACTGATCCAAAAGGCACAATTGTGTTTGATTTGGGAGGGAGGAGGAGAGTGAACAAGGGCTGCGTGGGTTGGTGATGGAGACAAAAGAAGAGAGAATTGGTGAAATTGTTATTCATTTCTGCATGTCAGTTGGTTGTTGGATTGGTTTGTAAGTAGTTTCTGAGAATACTGTATATATGAATCCCATAAATATTGACTGTCGTTTTACATAGCGTTTCTTCTACACCGATTTCTACCGTTTAAAAAGTATTCACTGCACGTAGGCATTGTGTGTGTGTGTGTGAGATCATAGATCCATAGATCCAGTGGATCCTTGGACACAGCCTTAATGCTGTACTAATGAGCATTCATCTTTTGTTTTCCTGAATGCATCAAGTTGTTTTAATGATCAAGTTGTTTTTGCTGGAAAGGATGGAATGGAGCTGGGCTGTCTTGGAGCCCATTTGGTGAGCTAGCCTCTCAGTAACAGCTGTCCAGACCACTTGAGGATGGGACTGGATGGCTGCCAACACACAAGGAACCCCAGTATAATTTAATGCTTTTGGGAGAGAGAATGTGTGTGTTTTTTTAAAAAAATGCTGTCTCAAGGGTAGAAGGTTCATATGCAGTGAGACCCACACTGGAGCAATACATATCAGTATTTTAAATGGCCAACTGTTGTTGTGTAGGACTTTACTGTCAGCTAATGGTTTGTTTTTCCTGTGATTCTGTAGGTTGAGTACAGAGAGATGGACGAGAGCTTGGCCAACCTGTCGGAGGATGAATATTATTCAGAAGAGGAACGCAATGCTAAAGCTGAAAAGGAAAAGAAACAAGTGCCCCCACCTCAGCCCCCACCCCCCGAGGAGGACATTGACAGTGATCCAGAGGAACCATCTGGTAAGTGGCATTTACTACAAAACAAACAGCTCTATATGGGTACAGAGGCAACAAAACCCTAAAGGGCTGGAGACACATTACTGACCTACACTGGCCTAGGATATCCCAGCACTATATTTAGGAACGGAAGGAGGCCATTCAACAACAAATCACATTTGTATAGTGCCTTTCATGTCAAGAGGACGTCCCAAAATTCAGCCCATCGCGGCTGTTCACCAGTTGATTTTTTTAATTGCATTCCCGCGCCTTTTCTGCATTTCCTTTAATAATACCCTTACTTCCTTAGTATCTATCTCCTTTTTATACATTCTAATTGATTTTGCTTGGACAGCTTTCTGGGGTTTCACATTTTCACAACCCTCTTGTGTGAAAGATTGGATACTGATCTCTCTTTCAACTGGTTTAGCTCTGTTTATTTCTTCTTGAAGCTACAACGCTGGAATCAGAATCACCTAATGCCCTGTTTTTAATGTACCTGTGTATCAGAGACCTTTGCTGTCTGACAAAGATGACTTTAAAGCTTTGTAATTTCCATCCACGTTAAATTGAATCACTACATTATATTGCAAAGAAGCTGATAAATTGAGACTGTCATCTTACTGAGCATTGAAACCCACGGATGGAAATTTTCAGCACAAAGGAGGCTACTTGGCTCGTTGTGTCTGTGCCACCGCTATCTCTTTTAGTATTAAGTAAGCCTTCTTCCTACTTTCCAGCTCATTCCCTATATTACTTAATGGAGGATATCCCAAGGCACTAGACAGTCAAGGATTGGAAATCAGATGACATTTGAGCTTTCCTTTTCATGCCCCCTCCCCAAAATGTGCACCCATTCCCAGGTTTTTTTTGCTGGCTGGGATTACCAATATAATCAATATCATTATTATATATATATTATTGATGTTGGATGTTCACAGTGAGAGTCAATATCAAATGTTTGCTGATAACCAGTGTACATTCCACCCATCGGAGAATAAGGAATATAGCTCAGGTGATTTCATGGTGTAATCTAACCTGGAGGTTTGGTTGATCATTTTAAATGGTCACGTTTTGCTCTGACACTTCCCAAATTCCTTGTGTCTCAAAATGTAAGATCATTGTAGAATTTGGAGGAAAATGTTAAACGGTTTGGTAGCCAGTTTTCCACAGTCACCAAAAAGAACTGTGGAAAACCAAATTTTAGACTTGGGCTGAATTTAAGAAGTTTTTGGAATTCTGCAAAATGATCTTAAAGCTAAGGCTACAAGGCTTTTGGGCTTCTCATATGAACTGATTGCTGTCTTGTATTCTGGATAACGTATATAGAAATACTTCACCACAATTCAACACTGTCTTACTACTGTATGAGAGGACTATGTTTCATTTTCCATTTCTAAAAACAAAATCCTTTGCTGTCATCTTTTCTTAACCATCTGTGAACTATTGCTACACTAAAGTTGCACTTGGCAAAGAATTTTGTAGTAACTGGCTGGAAAAATGACAAAGACACGATTATTGGAGCAATGAAACTAAATGTTAGCTTGTATGGACCTCTTATACACGCAAGTGTGTGTTGGAAGACACTTGGTGACAACTGCAAAGTTGCTTTCTATGTGAGAGCACTGAGCATTGGAATATATTTATTGACTCGGTGGATCAAATGTGGTCTCACTGCCTGTGGTCCAGTGCTAAAGGTACTTGCTTGTAGTTTTAAGCAGTGGTGACCAGGAAAAAGCTATGTTGTCCATTTTCTTCCGTCCTCATCTCCTGAAGGTGCTGTCTTGTACTGCGCTGATGTTTAGTTCCACGTGGGCTGAGATCTCTTTGATTACCTCACACAAGTGACCATTCTTCGTATAAAAGTCTAAACAGGTTGTTACCAAGCTGGTGAATAGTGGCGGGCATTACAAACAAGCCCAACGCTGCCCACATCTTATAAGCACACTGACTGAAGTTCTCTCTCCCCAAACTCAGAGATTCTAAGCAACTTATAATGCCCCAATTGCTGCCGTGGATTAACTCATTCCATACCCAACTTTAACAACTGACCTCTAGGCTATTGGAAGAAGCATTTTTTTTAACATATGGTTTAATACTGAGATGTCGGAAATGTTTTTTTCCTGGGATATATTATTGCTTGTGTGTGTTCGATGCATAAAATAAAGTTTAAAAAAAATTAAATATAGTTCTGCCATTCATTCCCCTCAATCTTGAAATAAAATCGTCCTTTAGATTTTTAATATGTAGCCTTTACTAATGCTCACTGTAAACACAAGAGATGATTTTGTATACTGGGCAGCAAGATATAATACATTTCCATTTAAGTACTCTTTAGTCTAGCAATTTGTATCATGTTATATTTTAAATAACCTCTGTGCTGTCTTTGTTTGTGAGGGAGGTGAAAGGCGGATCTTATCAAAATAAAAACTGAAAAATGTAATAACTTAATATTAGCACGTTGGAAGGGTTCTTGTGGGGCGTATCATGGTGCAGGGAGGCTTAAATTGCCGTGGCCAAGTATCTTCAGCCATCGCAGGTTGTGGTAATCTGCCCTGACGACCCTTCCAAAGCTTCTAATATTCCAGTTAACTGCCAGACATTAAATTATTTGTACAAAATTATTGGTGTTAGTAAAAAAAGAAATTGCAAAATGCTTTAATAAAACCGCGGAAGTTAGGGAAATTAGTGGTGTGCGCATGCGTGTGAATGTTTTTACGTTCGTTCCGCAGTGCATTGGAGCAACATCAGTCTGCCAGGGTCGTTTGCAGGTACGTATTGTTTAAATTACTTTGATTTATTTTTTAACTCTTCGGGATTTTTTTTTTTTTTTGCCTTTTTAATTTTGTGTTTTTGACGTCCCTTTTGTGGCAGAAAGTATCTGTGAGGCAGGAAGGTGTTGCGTGGGGGTTGTTGTGGTGTTGGGGGTAAGCTTATTAGGGACGGAATTTCTCCCACCCAAGTTTGATGTGAACACGGCAACTGATGACCCGGCTCTCACCATCGGTGCTCGGGAAGAGAAGCTCCCGGGAGGAGCTGCTCAGAGGGATTCGTCCACGTCTGTGTGAGGAGTTATTGATCCTGTTCCGTAGCCACCTGGCAGAGAACCTGTGCGTCTAGTTGGAGGCTTACGGTGGCTTTGCTGTGTGTTATTCCAGGGGCACAGTTCAAGCTTTGTTGCACTAATTTTGTAAGTTCATTTTTGTCAGGTGTTGAGGGAGCAGCTTTCCAGAGTCGTCTACCTCACGATCGCATGACCTCACAGGAAGCAGCCTGCTTCCCTGACATCATCAGTGGTCCTGCACAGACTCAGAAGGTGTTCCTGTACATCCGGAACCGCACAGTGAGTTTCTACAACCGTTACATTTATCAAATCAATGCTCTGTTTGTCCTTTATATTCTGTTGTACACAGTCACTACACCTTACAGCAGTTCTTTGTAAAATAATAATATAATAATCCTTGGATTTGATAGAGCGCATTATCACGTCTTTGAGATTTCTCAAAGCGCTTCACAGCATATACTGTAAAGCGAATTACCTGTATATTTTGAGGGCGAAATGGTTCGAATTGCTTGCTGTGGGTACCATTACAAGGGAGATGATGGTCTGTATTTATGTTTTGTTTTGGGGAGAAACGTATGTTTCGAAAGTGTGAACGTGCTGTGGAGCGTTCCACTAAATCCTGCGTGGTAACCCATTAGTAAGCCGATAGCTAGATATTGCTTGTACTACATTGGGTGTGATTGACCATCTTTGTCACAGCTTGAAGATGATTTTGTTTTTAAACTAAATCTTCAGTTTCCTCTTGCGTCCAAGAGGGTTTGAGAGAGTGAGCAGAGGAAAACAAAACCTCCTAATGGAATTAATTACTTTCTATTATTAGCTGCAGTAATAACGCATGGCCTAGTAATAATCTATAATAATCCTTGAATTTGATATAGCTCCCACTCCTACCCTCGCTCGCCTCCACTGGCTCCCCATCCCCCAGAGGATCGAATTCAAGATCCTCACCTGCAAGGCTATTCACTGCCTCGCTCCCTCCTACCTCTCCGACCTACTTTCCCCCTAAGTACCTGCCCGTACCCTCCGTTCCTCTGGCTCCAGTCTGCTCCACATCCCCCGCCCCAACCGCCCTACCATCGGTGGCCAGGCCTTCAGTCTCTAAGCCCCTAGGCTCTGGAACTCCATCCCCCAGTGCCTTCGCCTTGCCTCCTCCCTTTCTTCCTTCAAGGCCGGTCTCAAGACCTTTCTCTTCGACCGTACCTTTAACTCCCCTCCTCGCTCCTTCCCTTCCCTCCCCTCACCCTGAATCATTTCCCCCCTGCTCGGGTCCCAACCCAACTGTCCAGCGCCTTGGGACGTCCTCCCGATGTGAAAGGCGCTCTATAAATGAAATCTTATTGTTGTAGCGCCTTATCATGTCATTGAGACGTCTCAAAGTGCCTCACAGAATATACTGTAAAGTGAATTGGCTGTATATATTTTGTGGGCCAAACGCGGCAGCCAATTGTGCACAGCAATGTCCCACAAACAGTCATGGATTGATAGTACTGCCCTAAGCACTCTTTCCCACGAAGCATTTTTTTGTACAACTTCATTGCATGTAATTTGACGCATGTCTTCTCTTGTTAACTGCAGCTACAGCTCTGGCTTGACAATCCCAAGGTGCAGTTAACCTTCGAGACGACACTTCAGCAGTTGGAGTCTCCATATAACAGTGAGTCCAGCTTCTCTGAAGCCACTTGCTGAGCCACGGGCCAGGCTTCTCTGGAATTTTTGGCAGCGTGTTGTGTGTGGGGGGAAGGTTTGTGAATGTGAAGTGTTTCTAGCGGTTCTTGAACTCGGGAATTATTTTTTTTTAGAAAGTATGTTAAATCGAATGAATAATCCTGAATTATGGCACTGGCTTCAGTATTCAATTTACCTTTATCTCTCCCCTCAGGTGATGCTGTACTGGTCCACAGGGTACACAGCTACCTGGAGCGACATGGTTTAATTAACTTCGGGATCTACAAGAGAGTTAAGCCTCTCCCGTGTAAGTACTGTAATCGCCGAGTCTCTTGTTTTGACAACCATTGCTCATGTTATGTAGCATGTGGGTCCTCCAGGGTCGTTAATTGGAATCTGTTGTGCACAGCCATTACACCTGACAGTAGTTCTTTGTGAAATGCTTCAAAATGTTTGTTATGGGCACCATAATAGCATCGTGAACAAAACACAAAATACTGCAGATGCTGGAATCTGAAACAAAAACAGAGAGAGCCGGGAAAACTCAGCAGGTCAGGCAGCATCTACGGAGAAAGGAAAGTGAGTCAACGTTTCGGGTCCACGACCCTTCGTCAGAACTGACTTTCCTTTCTCCATAGATGCTGCCTGACCTGCTGAGTTTTCCCGGCTCTCTCTGTTTTTGTTTCATAATAGCAACGTACATTTATATAGTTGCCTCATGTGGAGCAGCATCTTGGAGCACTTAACATGGCAGAGCTCATCAAATTAGCATTATTCGATAAATTGTAAACAAGTTAAATCCATTTACAAGATCGTTTTGAGTTTTATTCCCTTCGTTGTGGCATTTTGTCTCTTTAGAAATCCAATCTTTAAACAAATTTCACGTTGACAGTTGAGTGAATTGGGATGAATTGAACCGGGTATTTTATTGTTTTTTTTAAAAAAAAGCCTCTTACTGGACTGGTTGCGGCTTATTATGATAATAATTGGAGTGTTAGAATGGCGATGTGTATTGTCTGAATTCATTATGTTCTGTAACTCTGTGTTTGCAGCGAAGAAGACGGGGAAAGTGATCATCATTGGTGCTGGAGTATCAGGGCTAGGTGCTGCTCGACAGTTACAGAGTTTCGGAATGGATGTCACCGTCCTGGAGTCTAGGGTAAGTCTGCTTACAAATCAACGATTGAGTGGGGTGGCTAGAGTTGGTGGGTGGGGGGAAGGTCGTAATCCCTTCTAGCTCAATTAGCAACAACAAATTACATTTTAAAGGAGGACATCCCAAGCTGCTGGCATTAAGCGGATCGATCACCAGCACCTTGGTGGGATAGTGGGCTCACTCGCTGTTGGTACCATTGACGTTTGCGTTCAGCTGCTTATTCTCCAGCACCTGCCAATTACTACTTTATTGAAGAAACGAGTGCAAATAGATTTGTTTCCTTGTATGGTGGTTCAAATTAGAGGCAGGAGGGAGGGCGGCGGTGGGAGAAGTATTTGACCTGCACAATGATGTAATCCAATGATGTTAAAACTAATTCCTGTAGAATGATGAATTTCAGTGTGGTTAAATGCATCTTTATTAAATGTGGGTTTTGCTAACTGCAGGACCGTGTAGGAGGCCGAGTGGCCACGTTCAGGAAAGGAAACTACGTGGCTGACTTGGGGGCTATGGTAGTAACAGGACTCGGTGAGTTGAGTGCAACTTTTGAGAACGAATTATCATGTGGTTATGGGTCTTTCGAAGCTATAGGTGAGTTGGAAGGTGAATAGAAGGGAATTGATTACCCAGATTTGTTCTCTTGTCTTTCCTCTCTCTTGCTTTACCCCCCATTTGATTTGCATATTAAAAATGAAATACGACATTTTCCTTTATGGGTTGCTCAAATGAAAGGTGTTTATCCAACCATGGGAGGCTTGGGTTAGGGTTGTTGCAACAAAGGTTAATAATTCTGTTCTGCAGGTGGAAACCCGATGGCAGTGGTCAGCAAACAAGTGAACATGGAGCTGGCCAAGATAAAGCAGAAGTGTCCCCTGTATGAAGCGAATGGGCAGGCTGTAAGTCTGAACGAATTGAGTTATGAAGCATGGCACAACACAGACCTGCAGAACTGCTTGTTTGATTTGGAATTGCCTGCTTGTATTGTATTCCTCGGTGAAGCTTTGCGTTAAAACTGCCACGTGCACTTATTGTGGGGTTAGGAGGGTGCGGTTTGTACCCGGGGTTTTCAATGCAGTGAGTTTCCCATCTAAGCCGTACAACAGTGTGGGCAAAGTGGAGTGAAGATAGATGGTCAACGGGTGGGAGGAAGAGAAGGTGAATTGGAGCCGGTGGATACTTCTGAGAAACAACTCGTGCATTTCCTAAATTGTTTGCAATGACGGCACTGTCAAAAGTGCTGCTTTAATCTTTATTTACTTTGGTTTCCTTTTTTTTTCCATGTCATTCCTGCTGTTTGGAATCTATTCCCAATGAAGGGAGAAAGATGCACAAACGTATGTACTATTCCATTGTTTTTTCTAATAAATGTATGTTATGATGTGCATAAATATATGCGAGTATGAGGAAAGGCAGTAGACAGACCTCATAAATTGTTTACACCTTTTGTGTAATGACAAAGTAACCACAATCTTTTTTTTCTCTTCCATTTTATGAAGACTAATCTTGCAGTTTGCATCAACCACCTTTCATCACAGCTACACTGAGTTTCATTGTTGTGGATGGTCTGTGAGGGAGACACGTTTGTGTGCATTATACAAAGTGATTCAGTGCTTTAAAAGGGTTGAGTTCATGAGACTGGCACTAACTACAGCAGATGTCCACGGTAGAAGCTTGTCTTCTTTCATTAAAACTGTTATGGTCTTTAGCCTTTTGCCCTGCCATTCAGATCACTGGAGTTTGGTTGAACAAAGATGTCTGTCAAAGCTAAATGTCTTAACAGCTGACCCCGTGCTTGATGGCTGCACAGATGGCGACGAATCAGTAACGCTGGCAATTCCATTCAATCTGCAAACGCTTTTTACAAGTTAGCACAGAAGAATGTTTAAATGAAACTCGAGCTTGAGGTGCACTGGTTTTCTTTGGGGATCTGACCAATGCTCTCTGTTGTTGCGATGAGATAGCGCGGCTCATTTCTTTCACATACTAGGTTTATGTGTAACTTGTGTCTTTCACACCAGTGAAGCGCGCCCACAGAGCCTGCCTTAAGGCATTTGAGCCGACTTGAGAATCTATCACCATTAGTCCTCCCAGTCTAATTCACCGAATGAATGCCTTTACTATAAGGCCTCATACAGAGGGAATCTTTCGTTCGGTTTACAAAGTTTGATTTCTAAGTGCAGAAAACCAAAGGGCTGGCCACCGATGCTGTGTCTTGCTCCCTGAACTGCTGTCAGTTTCGTAAGTGCCCAGTACCTTGAAGACTGCAAGATGACTTGTGCCAAATAACTGGACAAGGGATATGTTCAACAGATTCGCTGTGCAAGACTAATATGGAGGTGGAGTGGCTTAAGTAAAAACCTCATCTCATTTAACTCCACAAATTCTGGTAATTTTTTTTAACATTCTGAAACCTTTTATTGGTTCCTATGTATTATTATGCAACGCTTTCAGCTATTAACGTTATCTTCTGTAAAATACCTAAAGTTTATATTTGTTTTAGAAAACTATAAAATGTATTGGATCAATTTTTTTTACAAACTTATTGACATAGACACGGGTAAAACAAACATTTAATCTCCTCTTATATCTACAGATGATCCATTGTCTTCGTCCTTGGGGTTAGACAAAGCAAGTTTTCGAGTTGAGGGAAAGGTCACTCACTATTCAGCACAAATAATGTGTTGCTGAGGAAAAACAAGATGTGTGATGAAGTCTACGTGAGGAGCAGATCATTCACTGGCTGAGTGGAGGTAGTGTCCTCAACCAGGCATCGTGGGTGCTGTCTTTTCATCTGAGACCTGGAATACCCAAGAGGGAGAGTGTAGGCATTGTCAGTAACTAGAGTGCTTGTGTGTGCCCAAATGTGTGCACAGGGACTTTAATACACTGTAGAACATTTTGCAATGTTGTCGCTGAATATTATTGATGGGACATGTACACATTGGTGAAACAGGCCCTTACAGATGCTGCTTTACAGACCTTCAGGTAACCAAAGGCCACCTTAATTGCTGCGTGCAATTCGCTGCCGCGTTTCGCTTGCAAAATATAGTCACTGCACTTTACAATATATGCTGTGAAGTGCTTTGAGACGTCTCAAAGATGTGATGAGACGCCATATCAAATACAAGTATTATTAAAGAATTCTTTCAGACATCAATTGGCAGGATGTTGGCACACCTTGTGCATCAGATGCATGTGAATGGGCGGATCAATGTATAGCATGGACTGATCTGTGTAGGCTTTTGATTACACTAGCACTTTGAAGTTCCTGCACTCAATCATTTTCTGTGGATATTTGTGTATTTTCAGGTGAATTTCCTCTAAATAAATATATAGAATTAATGTCTTCCATTCCTATGATTTCCTCCCTACCCATCTCTGTTTCTTCAAAAGGGTTGCACTAGTTTCACACCGAGTAGTGGTGCTGCACTCTGCACCTGACCATGTTTTTACATGGGGCAGTGCAGAGGGGGATGTGTTGTACGTTCTTATATTTGGAATAGCTGCGATCCGAATGGAAAATGTGTACCATTCCCTGTGTCTGAAATGCCTTTGTACTTATAAGTATGTAATTCACAAAAAAAAGGCCTTGTGTAACTACGGGGGCCCTGTTTGCAATGGGAGACCTGTGTCTTTTAGCTGAAGTTACTGTGTATTTCTGAGCACATCAACAAATGATCCTGGTTCTATTTTGATAAAGCAACAACGGGTCGATTTCTGTGTCTTTCAGGTTCCAAAAGAAAAAGACGAGATGGTGGAGCAGGAATTCAATCGTTTGCTGGAAGCCACATCCTATCTCAGTCACCAGTTGGATTTCAACTACCTGAACAACAAGCCCGTCTCATTAGGGCAGGCACTGGAAGTTGTAATACAGTGAGTACTTTCTCTTTGTTAAATTGAGTTGGACAGTCTCAGCTGACATTTCAGTGCAATACTGAAGCAACGCTGGCTGCATTGTCATTAAAACGTTGCGATGTAAGCAATAGTAAAATGCTGTGGGCTGTTTTTAAAAAAAAACATTTGATTTCTATATCTTGCTACAGATTGCAGGAGAAACATGTAAAGGATGAGCAGATTGAACACTGGAAGAAAATAGTTAAAACACAGGAGGATCTGAAGGAATTGCTTAATAAGGTAATTACAGCAGGTTCTGGGTTGTAGGAATGGGCATTGGAATGCGTTAATTCTCAAACTGAAACCTGTCTCCCAATGTGATGTGCTACCGAATTCCTCAATTAATGCGTCCAGTTCAACACTATGTTTCATTGCTTGCATTTGTTGTAAACGTGCACCTGAACAGAATATATCCTTCACAAAAATATATCCTTCACGAAGTTCACAGTTGAATTTAGAAAGTACCACTGATAAAAATTCCAATTGCACTCGGGAAATCTGGAGCCAATCTAAAGTACAGAAATTCATATAGAACTTTCAACACTTATTTTTTTTAAAAAAAGTCTAACTTTGTTGTCAGATCAATGCCTTCCTCTGACATTGCTTAAATCACTGCGCTTATCTGCACCTCCCTTATATTTTTGTCGGTTTATCAGATTGGGTTGCAATTCCATCAGCTGCCCTTTGTTGGTGCTGCTGCTGACACAAACACTTTGTGCTACTTCTGCTTAAGAGGCACTGCGCAGTGATTTCAAAACCAGAGTAACGTTGAATTCATTATTTTTCCTAAACTGTTTGTGCCGTCTCCATTCTTCTGTTCACTGTATGTAACTAAAACATGTTCACACACACCATATGATTAAAACCCATTGAAAGCTCTCCTTTTGGCCTATTTACTAAAGAAAGGTATTACCCTGAGTAGCACAAAGACATGCAATGCAGAATGACTGATGGCTCCATCGGAGATTCAACTCACGGAAAGGCAAATGGTTGGCTTGCAGGGCTTTAGGTCACTGTTAATGCCCTGCCTGTGCGTGTAGTTTTATTTTTGCAAGTATATGATACTCGGGGGCACATAGAAAATATCCGGAAATGGCAGGGACCTCCATTTATTACCGTAGATTGGAGATTATTTGCTGCAGCAATATTTCAAAGGATTTTTACTGTTGTCGAGTGTCTGTCCTTTTCTGTTTTATTGATTTGTTTAAAAATTATCATCTCCTCTCAGATGGTATCATTAAAGGAAAAAATCAAAGAGCTCCATCAGCAATATAAAGAAGCCTCCGAGGTGAAGCCTCCACGTGATATTACATCTGAATTTCTAGTGAAAAGTAAATTGAGAGACTTAACTGCTCTGTGTAAGGTATGTATCTATTAAGATACAGTAATGTATATGTATATATTAGCTCCCTGCCATCCTGATCCCAACCCCCAGTTTGGGTGAACATCCTTGTCTGTCCAGCGCTTTCCGACGTCCTGATGTGAAAGGCACTATACAAATGTAATTTGTTGATGTTGTACGTGTTTATTTTTAAACTCCTGTATCTTTCCCCCTCTCCCTACCTTCCAAACCCCCTGGAAAAGTTATCACTTTGAATGTACCTTTGCTCAACATTCTGAAATTCCCCCCCCCCTACTTTCCTCCCTGCTCAGTAATCCTCCCAATGTCAATGTGAAGGAAGAAGTCCTTCCCACACAAAAGGCGCTATATAAGTGCAAGTCCTATCCAATCCATGTTGTCGAACAGAATGCTCTATCTTTGAGCCCAGGTCCCCAGAAATAAAAGTTCTTAACTCATTGAGCTACCCAAGTTCTAAAGAAGTAGCAATATTTCCTTGTTTGGCTGAGTGAGCAGGCCTGGGATCGATCCCTTCAGGTATGTGACTGTCTATTATTTTACTCTTAACAGGAGTATGACGAGCTTGCCGAGGCTCAGGTAAAACTTGAGGAGAAACTCCAGGAACTGGAAGCGAACCCACCCAGGTATTTCCACCCACACTGAGATCAGAATCCTATTTCAGATCACGTTTTGATAATTTTGTCAGCATGACTGGTTAACTTGGTCGCACAGTATTGTCCTGCTTCATTGAAGGAGTTAATCAGTGCTGTACCTGGAGCTTTGTGACGAGCTGTAAAATAGTTAGCAGTATTGACACTTGCACTGTTTAATCTGACAGGAAGTTTGAAATTGTTGGTCAGGAGTTTAATAAGTTGTTCCACGATAAGATTTTATGATAGAAATTATGACGTGGTGGGGGATCAGGAAACTGCTTTGCTTTTTTTTGACTAATCTTTTCTGTGTTACAGCGATGTTTACTTGTCATCGCGGGACCGACAGATCTTGGATTGGCATTTTGCTAATCTGGAATTTGCTAACGCAACACCCCTCTCCACGTTATCGTTGAAACACTGGGACCAGGTAAATGGGCATTTACAGTGCAGACAACATGGCTCAACACACCTGTTAACAGTGCTGATCTGCTTATGTAGCTAGTCTGTGTCCGTATTACCTGGTGAGTTTGAAGAAGTGGTGCAGTAGTAGTAAAGATTTGTATCTGAATGTTTAAAAGGCTGCATTTGTGGTTACTTTGATGTACAGTTCAATAGAAATACTAATCCTTGAGCCCAGACATTCCATCTGTTTTTAATGTCTGGAAAAGCCTTTTGAATGTTTACACTAAATATAGATCGTGTTTGTCTGGACATCATCATTTAGTGTGTGTTTGGCTTATTGCAAGCTGTTACTCTCCTCGGTGTCCAGAGAGAGTCCCACTTTATAGGCTGCCTACTTTACTGAGCAATGCCATCCAACCTGGCATGGGAAAGGTAAGGTTTACACTGGCGTAGAAAGCTGCTCTTCTAAGGTTAATGTACATTAATGGGGTCAGAGAGCAAATCTTTTTGTATCAGGTTGTCCTGTTTATCGACTGCAGTATCCCATTTCCAGAATTGTTTAAATTATTTTTTGAAAGTCATTGACTTATTTTTGCATTGGCAAAGAAAACTAGATTGTAGGACCCTGCACATCAAACAATTAGAAATTAAAAACATGAGGGTCAAAGGAGACTTGTGAGTTGATTAATGGGCAATGCACACAATGGTTTAATTAGAGTTTAGATTCAACGTTAAATGGAAAGCCATTTCTAAACTCGCCTCTAACATTAGAACTGTTTCCTATTTGCCTCCCGTTCAGGATGATGACTTCGAATTCACAGGAAGTCACTTAACGGTACGGAACGGCTACTCATGCGTCCCCGTGGCTCTAGCGGAAGGTCTTGACATTAAATTAAATACTGCCGTGCGGCAGGTCCGCTACACTGCTTCAGGTCAGTCAGCAACTCTCTCATTGTAATTCAGGTCTTCGTATGAATCCATTTAACAAAAATGCCTCCAAATCCAGTGTTCTTATCCTTGGTTTATTGTGTGTTTGAGTTAGCCATGTGAAATTAATTAAGTTAACTTGAGAGCATTCACAATTGACTACGATGTATTTCGCCTCAGGCCCTCCCTCCCTACCTTTTGTTTCCATTAATTTGAATTATTGCTTTTTGATAGGAACTGTTCAGGTCTGCTGAGTCCTTGGAGCTCCCAAGTGAGAGGTTATCAGCAGATACAATGCTGTAACCATGTAAAATGTGCAAAAGTTCTCTTTCACTGTTACCTTGAGGGCTATCTTTCTCCCCCCAAATACTGTCCGTTTATACCATAGTATGATATTAAATTGGTCTTTATTTTAAGCTGCATTTAAAAATCATGATGTGAATTCTTTGAACTCTCTAAAGCGTGATTTTAATCTTGAATTCTGCTCGTTCCTGTGTTGCTACTCGCTGTCTGACGTGTCTCACCTGCAAAAAAAAACCAATCTCCATCTTTCAGGTTGCGAAGTCATTGCTCAAAACACGCGCTCCAATAGCCAGACGTTCATTTACAAGTGTGACGCAGTCCTATGCACACTTCCTCTGGGCGTGCTCAAACAGCAGCCAGCGGCCGTCCAGTTTGTCCCACCCCTTCCCGAGTGGAAGACGTCTGCCATTCAGCGGATGGGCTTTGGGAATCTCAACAAGGTGAGGCACTTCCTCTGTGAGAACTAGATGAGAGATAGGCCTCCCTGCTTTTATATTTGCTCTTATGACTACCAGGAGCTGAGAAAAATACAACTGTACACAAGGTGGCTATTCTTGGCTAGGTTTTGGTGGGGTGGTGAATTGGTGCATCGCCAGGGAGTGTGTAGGTGTGAATATCCCAACTGTCAGGTGACAGTGATACTTGAAGCTCAGTGAGCAGAAAGAAAAACATAATAGAGGTTTACCATCCATCAGCTGGACATTCAGTTCAGCCCTAGTTTATACTGTAAGGTCAATGCCAATTTTCCCCTGATACCAGCAAATACAGCATCAACTCACCGTCAGACTAGCTGCCCAAACTCGGCATCAATCTCACTGTTGCAAATCCACTCATTTAAAGGTTTGAAAAATATTTTTAAAATGTAAAGAATTGCGATGGATGGTAGAAATTGTAGAAATGTTCAGCGAGAAGATCCCATGGGAAGATAAAGCACGTAAAGGAATGCGCCTGTGAGTGTGAGTGATAAATAACATTTGGTCCTTCATTGCTCCTGAATTTCTGTATTAATTGCTGTATGTTTTGTTTTATTATTGTTAGCTTTGCTTACAAAATCCTGGTCATCTTGGCTTAATAGAGAGGGTTTACTGTAGTGAGTCTTTACCCCTTGTTAGTTGCTGCTGCAACTACATTTGATAGTTTCTATCAGTATAAAAAATAGAGTTAGACAGTATAAGTCTTTCAGCTTACAGAGTTCTGCATAATAATAATAATTTTAATAATAATTCTCTCCAGGTTGTGCTGTGCTTTGACCGAGTATTTTGGGATCCCAGCGTCAATCTCTTTGGCCATGTTGGAAGTACGACTGCCAGCAGAGGAGAATTATTCCTCTTCTGGAATCTTTACAAAGGTATTCATTCTTGCACCAGAAAGAGCTTATTCTTTATTTCCATTGTGCTGATCTACCAAAATTGTCTAAATTTAAATGTTCAGATGTAATTGTCGAAGTTTGACTGTCAAGTTTGTCCAATTGTAAAATTATTGTATTCTGGCAATGAAGGATAGATATTCCGCCGGAATATCATAATAATATGCCACTGGAAATCATAATAATTTCTGCATTTGATATAGAGGCTTATCACGTCTTTGAGAATTCTCAAAGCGCTTCACAAAATATACTGTAACGTGACTGTATTTTGTGGCAATGTAAAGTCAATTCACTTTACAGTCTATTCTGTGAAGGCTGCCCAGTGAGCTGACCTTTGCTTGTTAGCTTTGCTTACATAGTGTGGTGCAGTGGCAATGCTGTTGTTCGTGTCTTTCATTTCTTTTATTTCCTTCCATCGCCAGCCCCCATTCTTTTGGCCCTGGTGGCCGGGGAGGCTGCCGGCATCATGGAGAACATTAGCGACGATGTCATTGTGGGTCGTTGTCTTGCTATCCTGAAAGGAATATTTGGCAGTGGTGCAGTGCCTCAGGTGTGTGTGTGTGTGTGTTTGAGTGTGCGATCACTTGTGCATGGAATAGGGAAATTTGGATCATCACATTTTTAAGCAGTTTTTAAAAAAATAATTTTGAACGTGTCTCACACTAAATCAAAGCCTAAATTAATGGGAGTGGATATCTCTCTAAGATTAGGTGAGCAAGGGGGGAACCCCCTCTATGGAGAGAGTGCGCACCGCACAAGAGAACAGATATTTCCAAATGTAGGTAGAGTTTGGATACTCTGAGGTGATGTGATGGGTTTCTGGGTGGAGTTGGTCGACCAAGAAAAACAAATAGACTTGCTGGTGGATTATGTGACTTTTTATTCCTTCAGCCTAAGGAGACGGTGGTGACCCGCTGGCGTGCGGACCCGTGGGCACGAGGCTCCTATTCCTACGTGGCCGCCGGTTCTTCAGGAAACGACTACGACCTGATGGCGCAGCCTGTGACTCCCGGCCCCAGCATTCCTGGCGCTCCTCAGGTAGAGCATCTGCATACTGGCTTCCATGATTTGTTGAGAAAATGCGCTTTTTGTTGTTGTTGCTAATATTGATATTGAATTTCTGTTCATCGTCCTTCAAATGCATGCGTTCAACTTGGGTTTTCCCGGGCGGGGTGAAACCTTGGGCAAGTTTCCTTACTCCACACTAGTCGCCTCTATTTACCTAGCAGTAAGTAGTAACCTGGTTGTTAGTCGATTGGCGGATTGCTTTTCAGGTCGTTCCAAACAAACAAAAAAAAACTTCTGGTTACTCAATGCACGACTGTTTGTAGGACGCTGCTGTGTACAGTTAGCTACCACTTTTCACCCACAAAATACGCAGTCAACCCACTTTATAATATTATGTGAAGCGCTTTGAGACATCTCAACTATGCTTTAAGGGGCTATATCATGTGCAAGGGTCATTATTTGAAGGATTTTACTATCAGGGGAACAGAAGGCTTGGAGCTAGAAACCACCATCTTAGATGGTGATTTTCTTTGGACGCACCTTATCTGTAGGGTTATTTAAGCCGGCTTCAGAATTAAGACCGAATTTAGGAATCGTCCCATGGTTAGCGTGTTCTGAAATGCTAAGAAACAAGTCTGCCTAGGACCCAGATGGAACTTCTTCCCCCTGGATCCTAAGTTATAATGTTGCTTGATGTGTGTTTGAAATGCTCCACACAATCTGGAATCTCTGCCTGCCTTTGACACTGAGGCAATAGGGGATACAGCAGGCAGGGCGCCAAGCCGGTGATTAAATCCTGATTTGCAGGTTTTCTGCTCCATTTACAGCCTGTACCTCGCCTCTTCTTCGCCGGGGAACACACCATCCGCAACTACCCCGCGACCGTGCACGGCGCTCTGCTGAGCGGGTTGAGAGAAGCAGGCCGCATCGCGGATCAGTTCCTGGGAGCGATGTACACTCTCCCCCGCCAGGCCACACCTGGCATCCCCACCCAGCAACCTGCCAGCATGTGATCTGAAACAGAACAAAGTGGGTGTGGGATGGAAAACAAGCAAGTTTTATTTCCTCTGGAGAAGCTACTGTAGACTTACGGAAGACTATGTGTAGACTGATGCATGGGCTGCATTGACCTCCTTCCCTCCTTTTCCCTGGGACTGACTGCCAAGAGGAGGAGGTACATTGACCCAAGAGCAAGGCCAAATGGGGCAACGAGGATACTTCGAACACCACCTGTGACCAAACTGTGTGATAACCAACCTTTTCTCGAAGCGAAGCCTTAGGTATTCTGTAGCATTAACTTTTGTGTCAATGCATTATTAGGCTTTCTGTTTTTTTGGGAGCGAGGTGAGAATGTTGTGTGATTGTAATACTGATAAAAGATTTACTTTTTTCCTGACGGTATTTTTCCCAGCCATACGAGTATGTGCTTTAGGAATTTTTTTTTTTTGAGTTGTGATTTACTGAAATAAACTTTTTTTTTGGATGTGACCGTCGTAAATTGTTCAGAGATCAACATTTGCAATACCTTCTGATTTTGGGTGCTCTAAAGTGCTTAGAAAGTCGAGTAAGGCGTCCAAAATTTCCAGGTGCAATTTCTTCCCATTAACTTGGAATCTGTTTTTCTGCAGTTTTTTTTTAAAAAGACCAATTTCCAAATTAATACTGAATTTAGCTCAACAAATAAGTAAACAAATTTAGCTGACTGTAATTTTCCACAATGCTGGGCGAGCGTGAAAATTTTGAGTTGTCTTTTATTGTGTTGCCTGCAATGTACACCCCTCAGATGATGACGTTTTTTTAAACCCAACTGTACATATTAATTTTATTTTCTTCACTTCCCTTGTTTTGTAACGATTATGTAAAGATTTGTAAGTAGCATAGTTTTTTTTTAAAGCAGAGAAATCAATGATTTTTTTTATGCCACTGTTTTCTCCGAAAGATCATTCCACACATCTCAGGCACAGTCAGATTTCTCTGTATTCAGACAAGAGTAACACAGTGGGAAGATGCCATTGAGGGCAGGCAATAAACTGGTCTAATTGGAGAAGTATTATCATTGCTGCGGTGTCCACTGGGTGTGGTTATGATATAACAGGGTTAATTTGCGCAGATTACTGACATCATTTAAGAAAATTGCATGAACTCTTCTCTCCATAACGCAGTGTTCCTGTGGGTTCGCCAGACATATTACCGGTTGCCAGAATGCAAATTAGGTGTAACTGGGCACAGAAAAATTCAAAGAAACTTTGTCATCACCTGTACTTGATAAAGGAAAAAAAAAACATTTTTTCATTCAAGAAAATCTTGCTCTTTACTTCCTCGTTTACACCCTTTTCCTCGTCTCCTTTAGCCACCCAGCAGACTTGCCCACGTGCGCTACCTTATCTCCGTGTGCACCACAGGGAGGTGCCCAACATCCTTCGGGATCCCTTCTGGAGCCCCAAAATTGTACACCACAGAAGAAGGCCGTCCAGCCCATCGTGCCTGTTTTATTTTTGTCTTGCTGCTGCCAAAGGTTGCTTTCAGAAACGAGTTATTCTTTCACGAGTGAGTTCTTCTTTCTCAGTACTGAAAACCATCAGGGCAAGCCCATACTAGACCCTGCTCTTTATAACATCCGTCTGTGTAATAAGAGCAAAACTGCACCCATGTGCATAATAAAGGCTCTGTGATCACTTTTGCAAGTGAGAGACCTGAGTTCAATTCCCGGCAGAGGGCGAAACCTTGGGCAAGTTTCCTTACTCCACACAGAGCCTAATAATAATCCCTCCAAAACAAAAATAAATTGGTCATTTTCAATCTACGACTGTCTGTGGGACATTGCTGTGTGCAATTGGCTGCCGCGTTCGCCCACAAATATACAGTCAATTCACTTTACAGTCTATTCTGTGAAGCGCTTTGGGACGTCCTCCCGACGTGAAAAGCGCTATATCAAATGCAAGGATTATTATTATTATTATTATTATTTTGACAGACGTTGGAAGGATTTCTAATGACCCCCTTTCCTCCACCAGCTGTTTAATGGGATATTCAATAGACCTGTTCATACCTAAAGCTGCCAAATTATATTTCACAGTACGTTTTATTATGGATAAACCCGTCGACCCAAAATAGTAAACGAGTTATTGTTATTGATGCTACATAATGTAAACACAGTTTTCGATCTGTGCCAATTTCGATCTAGCAAAGCTTCATTGATACCATTGACATTTTTCTGGCATTTCAATCCAGGGCAGTAGTTTTTCAGTCGTCATCTCCGCCTTGTTCTCCATTCTGCCATTGCTGACTGTAGTACCAAACATCAGCTTGTTTTGGGCGGAGGAATAGTTAACGTGGGCTGTTACAATTCCTGACTACAGCCAACAGAAATTCTGTGGCTTCACTCGCCTCCCAGCTGAGAGGGAGGTTATGCAGAGGTGAGAAGACACCAGAAGAAGAAAGCAAAGGAAATGAAAACAGAAATTTTCTCAGCTTCTGTTTGTTTTCTTTCTCAACATTTGAAAATGTCCAAATTCCCTTCTGGAAACTTGTTGAAATTCAATTCCCATCAGTGGGACAGAGCTGTCGGCAATTCTGGAAAGTGAACAAAGAGGGAAGGGGGGGTTGGGGGGGGGGAATGTGTAATTCTCTTCTTACTGCGTTCATTCGTGCTGGGATACAGTTCCCCGAGCACTGGCTCCATCTGGTTCCTCGCCCAACTGGCCAATTGTCACATGGTAGCCTGGACAGTGAGTAACGTTCGGTTGATCATCTCTTGGGGAATTTGCTGGTGGTCTTGTCCTCACCTGTCATCCACGCACGCGCACCTTTGTTAGCGATCAGGAGCAGGAGGATCATGTCTGCCCACCCCACCCCCTTTCTCCCCACATCACCCCCACGACCACGAAGGCCCTCACGCCCCCTTTCCTGTACCTTCTTGACTCAAGTGTTGCTGCGAGTGCAAAGATAATACAATACGCAGCGGTATTCAAAGCTATTTAACATTTTAGTGCATTGTGAGAGAAACATTTTTTTTTCTTTTGATTCAATCATGCAGTTGGTCAGCTTTAAGTCAACAGACAGTGGGAGGATAATGTCATTCAACAGCTTGGGCAGGCAATCCACCAACTGCAACAGTTGAGAACTTGACTCCAAACCAGAAGGTCACACAGTTTGAATCCCAAGTGCGGACGGTGACTCAAGACTCACTCGTCTCTGTTGCATTAGTTCTGGAGCAAGCCACCAGATGGACCTCTAACTGAAGCAAATATCCACTTCCATTTTGGAAGAAGGAAACTTGCCTCCTTTGAAGTCTGGGATAGTGATCTTAAAAGCTGAGTTCTGGTGGTTAGAAGTAAACTTAGAAAACATTTCTCAACACCAAAGCGGGTGAGATTGTGGGACAAACTGCTGGTCGATGCAGGGTTGATCAAGGTTATTTTAAAGAGGGAATTAGATAGGTATTTAGGAATTTATGGTATTAAGAGATATGGAGAAAAGCCATTGAGGCATTAGAAAGTTAAAGAGCTGCCACACACTGATAAAGTGGCAGAGCAGGCTCAGTGAGGCAAATGATCTCTTTCTGTTCCTTCCCACTTATCTCATGTTGGCTTGTTGAATTTTCTACAGGGTATCCACAATCTCGTTACCCCATGTTTTTTTTCACACAATGCACTGACCAACAGCTAATACATGTGGAAGAATGATGATAGTTGTATTTAGGAGTACTTCATTGTATTGTGTACAAGTGTTTATCTGTATTTAGACGTCCAGAGGATGTTGTGTGTGAGCGTCCTTATTTTCATGGCAGATAATAATCCGTCACCATGTTCGGTGTGAGATCCTCCACAACATGGATGGAGTGAGGAGGTGAAGTGCTCCTCCGACAGCTTGTTTCAGCTCCTCCGTAGTCTTCTATTGTTTTATAACGAGTGCAAGCGGACTTGGTGGGCATCCTTTTTAGTGATACAGCGATTGAAAAAAAATGGATGTGAAATTAAGACAAAAGTTTGGTGAAGGAGTTGGAGGTTGGATAGGGGGAATAGAACAGAACGTGTGTCATTTTAAAGCTGCCAAATAAGTTAAAAGTTTGTTGTCTTTATCCTGTTAACTCTTTGTAAACAACCTTAATGAAATGACAAAGCATGTGGTTTATATTATAGATGTATGTAATACCTTGGGATCATCAACAATATCATCATGATACTTTGGGATGTATAATACTTTATCAAGACAAAACGATTATGTAAAGATCTAATTCAGCAGGATATGCAGTCCGTTCCTTGTCAGTTTTACTGACTTTAACACAAATAGGCTGGGCATGTACAGTCAAGCAGCTGTCCTTAATGCTCCTCCCTGTCTGAACACGCACCGCGCATGACACATTGAATTCCTATTCATCAAAATCCTCGGCTCCGTCTGTAACTACCATCATGTGGTTATTTCTTATCGCCCACACTTTTTCTTACGTGCGTTGAGTGCGTCCGACTGGAAGAGGCGAATTAACCCTTTTTATTCGGGGTGAGATTCTACCGAGGTCTATAATTATAATCCCTGCATTTGATACAGCGCCTCATCACGTCTTCGAGATGTCTGCAAGCGCTTCATAGAAGATCCTGTAAAGTGAATTGACTGTATATTTCGTGGGTGAAACGAGGTCTAAAGGTTTAGTCTTGTTTTCAGAATATCCAGGATTTCATTTTTTTTTGAAAATCCTTTAAATATAATCTGAGTTTCTATGTACACTTCGTGTTATTTTCTCAGCCGCTACTGTAAGAATTCCTGACCTGTGCTCCAATGCGCAGGCCATTCATCATAAAGCTTGTTGAACACTGCAAAGCAGGAGGTTGGTGGCCCTTGAGAGATGCCATAAACTTTCAAGATTCTAGTCTTATGATCCTGCGATTCATTTTTTTGTTGTTGAAGATTCAGTCTTGATTTAGAAGCTACTTCCACCAATTTACTTCCAAAATTAGGTCTGAATATTGAAGAATCTTCGAAATTCTGCACGATATGAAAACCTTAACGAAACGCAAATGACTCCAGATGCTGGAAATCCGAAAACAAAAACAGAAGTCCCTGGGAACAACGTTTCAGGTCCACCACCAGTTCTGACGAAGGACCCGAAATGTTGACTCGCTTTCCTTTCCCCACAGACGCTACCTGACCTGCTGGGTGCTCCCGAATGATGATGGAAAGCGACGTCTGTTTTCGTTTTCATGAAAATCTTACGGCTTGAGACACAAAAAACAATTCAAGAATTTTGTGCTTGTAATGAGGGAGAAGGGGATGGAGGGCGTGACGTGACAGGCGCTTTGTAATTGCATTGCATCTTCTATGAATTTTGTGCTTGTAATGAGGGAGAAGGGGATGGAGGGCGTGACGTGACAGGCGCTTTGTAATTGCATTGCATCTTCTATGAAGCGGAATGCAAAGGGTTTCTGATAAAGTTTTGAGTCTCCATTGTTCTGCTGATTCATCTCCATCTCTCTCTCTCTCTCTCTCACAGCTGCTCTTTTTTCATGTGGTTTTTAGCCCACAAACCAAGGTGGTCCTTCTGGACTGATCTCCATCCAAGCACACGTCTGGAACTTTAATTGTAGACTGGAAGACGGCTGAGAATTCCAACCACGTTTGCCCAGCTGTGGATGCAAATCCGTTTTGGCCCAAAACGCAATTTGGGGCATGAGTTTAGCTCAGTCGCCCGCACTCTCGTCTCCGGGTTCAGGATGTTGTGTGTTAAAGCCTGATGTTGGGTACATTTGCTCACAATCTTGTCTAATATTCTAGCACAGTGGTGGAGGGGGTGGTCAGATGGCCATTCAGATAAGCTGAATGCTGCAAAGTCCTCCCACTAAGGACCAACATTATGGGATATCGTACATAGGTAGTTTGGGACGTATGTATGCGACCGCCAGGATGATGCAAAATAATGAAGAGATCCCTACCTTTTCAATTTACCGGGGAAAAAGCAACGGACTCGTCCGTCGCGAAG